ACGCTCAATGCTAGTTGATAAGAAAAGAGTTGTTGAATATTTATTTATTAAAAAAATTGAAGAAAATATCAAGATCTATGCGAGACATACTCGGTTTTGTATGTTTTAATTACACATATACGTATTATTAGTTACCATTTGTGAAAATATAAAATCATAACAATATGCAAATGAGTTCCAAGAATCCTCGTTGTGACTTTAGTGCACCAGGGAAACACATGGTAGATTGAAAACACTCACATTTGTTTTTAATTTTGACTCTGATTAAACTTCGAGACAGGATATTTTTTTTGCACCTGCTTCGGTATTTCAAACAGGTTATTTTACGTTTCAAACGGCATCTATGCCCTAATCAAGTAGATATTACGAAAGATTGAAAATGCACATCGTTTTAGACGTTTATTCGACCCAACATGCATTTACGTAACATTTTAGGTTCGTGCAGTCCATTTATTGTCAAATTAGTTCTACGATGCCTGAAAGCATCGTTGGGCACGCGACAGGCGTTGGGGATGAAAGGGTTAAACACGACCAATGAACGTGTTCAATACACATGATAAATTTGAATACACATTGCTAAAGATATTTACGACGAAAACTATGGATGAAAGTATTAGTAGTTGAAAAAATTAAAATAAAGTTTGATTAAAGATAACGAGGAGTGATTTACTTTAATAGAAAGTGAAAAAATGTTGCTTGCAAGGTAAATTCGTCTGAAACTGTCATATTTTTAGAAATAAAATGATCATTGAACATCGATCGTGAATCCGTGCGTCGGGAAATATGTGACAATCAACACGGGTACAGAATCGCCGCAGCTTCTGTATAATGTCACTGGTAAATAATTTCAATGCTTTTAACTTTCACGAATTTGTAAAGTTTCGTTTATATCTATCTGCCAAAGATAGGATTAAACAATAATACGCACGGAATGTGAACCTACGGAAACTGCAAATGAACTGGTCAGCTGTTCATTTATAAAAAAAATTTGTTTTAAAAAGTTGTATACCAAATATCTTAACCATATTCGATTTTATTAATTCTGAATGAACATGTTCTCTGCCAATAACAAAGGGGTGAATTATAAGCAAAAGGTAGATGATGGAAGTAGAAGTTTTTTTCAGACCAATGTCTTCTAATGAAAAGGGGAATACACCTCCGTCTACACTGTCAGTATAAGCAGTTTTCATTGCTTCTAATCCCAACCAAGCTCAAGTTTTAGCAATTGATAAAAGCAAGCACCATGTTTCTGGTTTCAATGACAAGTGGCTGACTGAGTTTTCATGGCTTAGAAATGTTAAAGGGGTATAAGCAAAAGTTATTGTGAGTGGGGGTTTAATTATTAACCCTGAAGAGGATAAAGACAAAGTTGAGGAACAGACTGTCCAACAAAATAACACTATCTTGAAACAATATCCCTAGAAGGAGCAGAGAGTAGAGATGAATATTTATATTTTGACTTCTTTAATTGACTGAATGTAAATAACTTTTGTGTTTAAAATCAATTTATTTCATATATATAGTCTTGTAATTCATTAATACTCTGCATTATTAAACACATAACACAAAGCATTATAATTCATATTGCATGTCATGATTTATGACCTATTGCTTCAGATCACTCTAAGAAAAGAGTTACACGCCCTTGAATTTTGCGCCTTAACAAAATCCTGGGGAGAACACTGGTTTTATGATGGTGCACCACCATCGTTAAAATTTCTTCCGTCACCGTCAAATGATCCCCACAAATGTCAAAATTTGTTTCCATTTCTCTATCCGCCATTTTTGTTAGCAAGTATTAGTGCCCCGCCGAATGGCGGACGCCCTATAGTGATCTGTCTGTTCGTCCGTCTGACCATCCGTAACAAATTGTGTCCGCTCTTTATCTATAAGTTTATACTTGACATGTATATTAACCAACACCAGAGGGTGTGTCATAATGTATGTACAACTTCCTAGGTCAAAGGTCAAGGTCAAAAACTTTGGTTTTAGTTGACAACCCCATGTCCTATGGTAAAGATCGTCTCCGCTCTATATCTTGAGAAGCGTTATGATTTCAAAATTTATACTTGACATGTATATAAACCAACACCAGACGGTGTGTCATAATGTATGTACAACTTCCTAGGTCAAAGGTCAAGGTCAAAAACTTTGGTTTTAGTTGACAACCCCATGTCCTATGGTAAAGATTGTGTCCGCTCTATATCTTGAGAACTGTTATGATTTCAAAATTTATACTTGACATATATATAAACCAACACCAGAGGGTGTGTCATAATTTATGTACAACTTCCTAGTTCAAAGGTCAAGGTCAAAAACTTTGGTTTCAGTTGACAACCCCATGTCCAATGATAAAGATACAAATTTTTTACCACACATTATTCACAGCGGGGCCCACAGAGATGGCTCCCATCTCAATGATATCTAGCTATCAATTGTTATTACATAACCCTTAGGCTTTTTGTATTTTAATCCAAAGGGTCCTCCTGATTACATTTTTAAAGCCCTGAGGGATATCCGGCTAAAGATCACTTGTACAGGTAAATCGACACACCTGACAGGAGAACACTTGATCAAGATAGACGATTGATTGCATTATTTAATTACAATTCAACAAATGCTAATGAAAATTTACTTGTTGGCTAAACTAATATGTACATGATGATGGTAGTAAAAGTCAGCGCAATGAAGGTCAGAAAGAAAATATTCGCATAAAAAGGCTGCTGATTTGAGATGAAAGTTTCTTCTTTTGATAATCAGAATGGAACTAGTTCATAAAAAAGATTTTTTTACAATATTGGTCCAATTCTGAAGTCCTGGACACTCTTGTAAAGTTTTTCAGTTTATAGATTCGTTAATAAAACATAAAGTTTTAAACATTTACCTTTGTTTAACTTGATTTGCACCTGTACAGGTAAAAAGAATGACCAAAGACTTGCAAAAAAACAAGAATTAAAAAGTACAGAATCTAATGATACTTTTTTATAGAACTTTTATTGTTGAATACTCAATATTTACAAAGATATAGCATTATAAGTAAACATATTAATAATTTATTCTGCAATACACAAAAATACAATAAAAATGCAGCAGTCGAATGATTAATCATTAGTACAAGTCGAAAAATTAATTCTTTCCAGCACAAGAAATTTTGTGTTAATGAGAGTTTCAAAGCTTTAAAAACACATGAATCCCACTTAGTAAAACATAAACAAACCAACATGTGTTTTCCAATTCTGTATGTGTTCTTCAACTCCGATAGAATATATGTTCTTGAAATTTAATGAAATCCCGACAATATATGTGCTAAGTTGATACAATATTTTACAATCTTGATGCACCTTTGGACACCAGTTTTGAAAATGATTAGTCCAGACAGATTCCAAGTCAGGAGTTATAGACTTGCCTTAGTGAGAACCCTGATACCCCTATAGATCTGTCGTAGCTAAACTGCATATAAACAGAACCAGTTCATTGCAAATGTGTTTGGTTTTTCAAAAGAAATTGTTTACCCTACGTACAGAAAAACATTAAAAAAAGTGAAATATCTTAGTATTCTATGATAGTTACCATTCCTCTCTGAATCCCCGGACTTCAGCTTAATGTAAAAAGCTGAAATAACTTTTAAAGATATCTGAGAATCAGTTATTTAACTGAAAAATTATCAACAGTGCTTATGTTGACAGTTCACACACAAGATAAAAACACATGCTTTAATTTGAGATTTTATCCAGCCATGCTGGATCTATGCGATCACTTTGGATATTAAAATTGGGAAAATAAAAAACAGAATATATATATGAAATTGAATAAGAAAATGCAAGCATGGTATATTTTACTAATAAAACCAGGGTCAATAATTACGTTAATTTTTAAGTTACAATTATCAGTAATTTGCTTGAAACAATTTATTTGTCAATTCCCAATTATATTACTAATATACAGTATACAGTATTTGAACATGTATGTTTGAAACAGGAAATGTATTTTTTTCAAATGGAGAAGGAATGCTATTTTACATAAAAAAATAATCCTTTACATTTTGTTGTTGTTGAAAAAGTGCATTTCAGTGTCTTTTTCATGAAATTATTATGGCAAATTTCAATAAAAAATCCATAACACATTCCTTTCAAGAAACATCTTCCCATCAAGATCATTCAATTAGAAAATGTTTATAAAAAGAAGATGTATAAAATCAGTGCACCTTCTTAAATTGAAATACAAAAAAAGAATTTGCATCAATATTGAGAAAATACTCTCATCTTAGGGAAATAAAAATGAAAACTTTTTAGTATAGTAAGATTATGGAAATGAAAATAACGCTAAAACCATTCATCTTCAGTGTCATATAATTTTTATTCAAAAATCAACAAACGATCCTTAGATGAGTTAAAGCAAATAGTATGCCTACAATATGTATGTTGAACATAGAAAAACTTTCAAAAGCAACCATTTGAAAAGTTAATATAAGGAGACAAAGCTTGTTTTATCAACTGGCAATGCAAAAAAAGATTATCTTTCTAAACTGAAAGCAAAAGTGATATATAAAGTATTTTTTTGTTTACCACCATACCTAAGAATATGATTTTGAGTTTTGTGAGCTGAAAGTGGTAATTTTGAAAAGGAAAATAATTCTGGTAATTTTTTATTGAAATAAAAATGAAAACAACATATCGGTTTCACTCCCTGTTTTGTCTGTTGTTATTGTTAGACTTATGATTCTTAATTGTTCCTTTGGTATTTCCTCGCTTTTTGGGCCAATCACTGAATCACACTTATTTTAAGTTTTGATAGCTGTCTTGAACTGTTTTACAAGAGTTGGTATAAAAAGAATATTTGAAAATGAGACAATAAAAAATGTCAGGCTAGCTAAATAATTGACTGGATCACAGCACAGATCATGCTTGGATTTTTCTGTGTTTCTGCATGCAATTTTTCAGACACGTGTACAAGGATACATTGTAGAAAAACATTAGATCATGTATGCTAATCTATTTTAGGAGAGGAAAGAGTAGAAAACCTCTTGGATGACATTCTTCAAGGCCACAATGTTGATGATGACCTCTCCACAGAGATAAAGGATAATTCTAAATCCAAACCCGGTATGTCAAAAGTAATACAAAACAAATAAGGACTATAAGATTTTATTCATGGAGTTTTTGTTTCATTTTTTCTTCAAATAACAAGAGTGTCCAGTCATAGGCATATAGTGAAATTCAATAGAGTATCGCTTCTTTGTGTCAATGCATAGATCTTTGTTCCCTTCTAACAGTAGTTTCTCTGGAAAGTTGTTATAAATATTGGTACAATATCTGTTCTTTTTTTAAGAAACAAATTCTACACCCTTTATTCCAACAAGAACAAATACGGTAATATTCATTTCAGTGGAAATGTTATTCCAGAAAAAATTTTCTGTTTGGAACTTATTTATTAAGGAATTTCTATTCCATGGCAAATTAGTCGAGATTTTAAGACACTTATTTAATCCTTTTTGGAGTCCAGTGCAGTCCCTGTAATTTGAATAGGTTTTGTTTTGTAAAGGAAGATCACTTTTTGTGCTTTCAAAGGCAGAAGGGGGGTGATAAAGCCATTGCCCTTCTATTTTGGGCAGACAGTAACTCTCTTGTGTAATAGACTATCACAATTTAAAATCTAGTCTCAGGATTTTGTTTGATTTAACTTTTGTCAAATCTGTTAAAGTTTATACTGGTTTGTATGTTTACAGAGGAAAGGGATACTAGAAGAACTGTACATCAGACACCATGCTAGCATGCACTATCAAATTTCTATGTTCATTGAAGTGTAAAATCTACACACCCTAATTTAATACTATGTATTTTTATTTTAACGTTCACATTATAATGAACATGTTAAGTTTCAAGTTGATGCGACCATAACTTCATGGTATACTACTAAACCAAAAACTTCAACCTGATTTACGTGATCTCATTTTTCTATAAGAATGTGTACTAAGTTTCAAAATGATGGAAGACTTCTACAGTTTGCATCAGATTGATAACCACAACTTCATTTTCCCTGTAGCAAAACAAGACTTCTACAGTTTGCATCAGATTGATAAATAATAATTGAATACTTCACAGACTTGCTTCAACTTATGAATTTTGTGCAGATATTGTAAATATATAAGTATTGACATTTGATAGACACATGCTATGGATATCTTTAAATCATTGTAAAATATGTATTTACTCGACAGATTTTATTCTAATCATGCTAATGGTGCTAATCATTGATTTTCATAAATAATATTGGCGTTTACTTCACAGCTGTTGTAAAGACTGAATCTAAACTTAAAACTAAGCCTAAATCACCTAGTAAAAAAGTTAGGACTTCAAAAAAGGAGGCCCAGTCTGACTTTGTATCTACAGAGATAGAAGAAAATCCAGACCCTATAGAAGATCCTGTGAAAGAAGACCCTCCACCAGAGGAAGAACAAGCAGAAGTAAAGAGGGACGAAATTAAAAAGGAAAAAGTTAATACGGGTATAAATATATGTTGTTGTTTTTTTGGTTGAATTTTTTTTTTCAAAAACCAGATGAGATCGAAAGAAATTACTGTCGCCATACATCATTGCATATACATTAACTAAAAAAAGAAAATACTTTACCATTTTAAATCTTCAATTATTTTTTGCTATGAAAAAATAGTTTTGTTGATTTGGGTACATGTATTGTCAATTAAAGGACTTGTTATGCTGTATTAAGTACAAACTCCAAACAAAGTATTGTACAGTTTTAGATCTAATTTCCTAATGCTTGTAGAGAAAAACTTTGGTTGGCTTGCTTGCTTTATTTGTATAAACGTTTACCCAAGCTTTGTAATTTAGATTGACATCTTCAGACAATATATATAGGCAAAGTTAAACCTGTATATATTATATTTGATTGGACGTTATCCCAATTACAATTGTACAATATACAAACAAAGCAAGCAAGCTAACCAAACCCTTGCTCTGGATGCATTAGGAAATTAGCTCTAACCAGACGTAGACCTTTTGATTTTTATAAAACTGGTTTTTAGACAAAACATTTATGACTTAAATCATTATTGAGCATTGGGAGTTTGTCTAATTTAAGGCTTCACACTTTGGCATGATCTTATATTGAAAGTTATGCTTGAGTTCCTTTTTTCAGAATCAGAACAAACAGAAAAGACATATTCTGTGAAAAAACCCTCTTCTAAAAAAGTTATAAAAAAGAAAAAGAAGATAATAAAGAAAGAACCAGGTAAGTTGCTGTCAGACCAATATTAACAGTGGTCTTTTAAGAAATGTATGAAGTGGTCAGATGTAAGGACATAAGATACAGAAGATATCTTACTTTGATTTTTTTTTTAAATTTAAATCAAAGTCAATGTTGATATGCACTTTTGAAAGATGCAAAGAAAAAATACTTTCAGGACATACTTTTGGAGATATCTTATATTGAAATTTGCAACACACAATTTCATATTGCAATAATTTTCTAAAGTTGTAACTTAATTTCAACCAGAAGGATGTTTTCACCCATTTAGTTTTGCAGTGTTATTTAGTTTCATAGGCATATATAAGCTAGTCCAATAAATTAAGGATGAATGTTTTACAATTTAAGTGATATCATTCAATTATTGGTGATAGAAAGCTGAAGACAATTTTCTTGCCAATATAAATGCATACAGAAAAAAAATGTACCATAAATATTTTCTTGTAATTGAGATATTATTCATGAAGCATTACATAGTCAATTGCAAAAAAAGGAGGGCCAATTGCTCATTTATAGCTCACCTAAGTGAGCTTTTCTCATCACTTGGCGTCCGTTGTTGTTAACTTTAACAAAAATCTTCTCCTCTGAAACTACTGGGCCAAATTTAACTAAACTTGGCCACAATCATCAATGAGGTATCTAGTTAAAAAAATGTGTCCAATGGCCCCCTGCCAACAAAGATGACCGACATTGCTAAAAATAGAACATAGGGGTAAAACATAAGTTTTGTCTATTATTTTGAAAACCATTATAAATAGAGAAAATCTGACAAAGGCAAAAATGTTCAAAATGTTGAGCTCTACCACATAGGCAAATACGTCAAAACTGTCAGACAACTTCTTATAGGAGTTATTGCCCTTAAACGACAAATTTTGCCATTTTTTGTCACAGAAAGCTCGACATACGGATAGTGATCAGGCGGCGGCAGCGTTAGCTAACTTCTTAAAAGCTTAATATTTCAGAAGGTAGAAGACCTGGATGCTTCATACTTTGTATATAGATGCCTTATGATATGAAGTTTCCGTCTCTCTTATGTCCATTGTCCTTGACCTCATTTTCATGGTTCAGTGACTACTTGAAAAAAAAGTTCAGATTTTTTGTAATGTTAATTTCTCTCTTTATATGAGTAATAGGATAACTATATTTGGTATGTGCGTACCTTGCAAGGTCCTCATGCCTGTCAGACAGTTTTCACTTGACCTGGACCTCATTTCATGGATCAGTGAACAAGGTTAAGTTTTCGTGGTCAAGTCCATATCTCAGATACTATAAGCAATAGGTCTACTATATTTGGTGTATGTAATGATTGTAAGGTGTACATGTCCAACTGGCGGGTGTCATTTGACCTTGACCTCATTTTCATGGTTCAGTGGTCATAGTTTAGTTTTTGTGTTTTGGTCTGTTTTTCTAATACTGTATGCAATAGGTCAACTGTATTTGATGTATAGAAATATTTTACGATGTTCATGTCAGTCTGGCAGGTTTTATTTGACCTTGACATCATTCTCATGGTTCATTGCTCAATGTTAAGTTTTTGTGTTTTGGTCTGTTTTTCTAATACTGTATGCAGTACATGCAGTAGGTCAACTATATTTGGTGTATTGAAGTATTTTACGATGTACATGTCAGTCTGGCATGTTTTATTTGACATTGACCTCATTTTCACGGTTCATTGCTTAATGTTAAGTTTTTGTGTTTTGGTCTGTTTTTCGAATACTGGGATCGTATAATATGATGTCGTCGTCTGCGTCGTCGTCCAAGGACACAGTGGTTTCCGGACAATAACTTTAGTTTAAGTTAATGGATCTCTATGAAATTTTTTAAGAAGGTTCAATACCACAAAAGGAAAGTAGGGATTGATTTTGGGGATGATGGTCCCAACCGTTTAGGAATTAGGGGCCAAAAAGGGGCCCAAAACAAACATTTTTCTAGTTTCAGGATAATAACTTGTGTATAAGTATTTCGATTGCTCTGAAATTGTACAACAATGTTTAATACCACAAGTAGAAGGTTGAGAATCATATTAAGGGTTATGGGGCAAACAGTTTTAATTAAGGACTAAAAGGGGATTAAGGGCCTAAAAGGGGCCAAAAACAACAATTTTTGTAGTTTCCGGACAATAACTTGTATGTAAGTGTATGGATCTCTCTGATATTGTACCATAAGGTTCCATATCACAAAGGGAAGGCTGGGATTGAGTTTTGGGGTAATTGCCTCAAACATGTAGGAATTAGGGGCCAAAAAAGGGCCAAAAACATGCATTATTATAGTTTCCAAACAATAACTTGTGTTAGATGTGTATGGATCTCTCTGAAATTGTACTACAAGGTTCCATACTACAAAGGAAAGAATTGGATCGAGTCTTTGGGCAATTGCTCCAAGGGGGGATTCCAAAAGTCGCGGGGGAGGTTCCAATTTTTTTAAGGAATTCATATTTTTTTTCAAAAATTTTCAAATTTCAAATTTTGTAAAAGTTTCAAGAAGTAATCTTCAATTGCACAGTATTGCGCAATAGATTTGTAAGATCTTTTACCACATTTATTTTGTGTCAGAAACCTATATTATGTCAAAAATTTGATCACAATCAAAATTCAGACAGTATCAAGCTTGAATATTATATTTGCCCCAACTGTTCAGGGTTCGACCTCTGCGGTCGTATCAGGCTGCGCTCAGCGAAGCATTTTATTTGACCTTGACCTCATTTTCATGGTTCATTGCTTATGTTAAGTTTTGACGATTTTTACCAATTTTTTGCGTTTTTGCCTTATATCTTAAAAATTATAATAGATAGAAACTTAAATAAGCAAAAATGTTCAGCAAGACAAGATCTACAATTAAGACAATTTGTAGGAAATTTTCCAACGACTCCTTATTGGAGTTGTTGCCCTTTAATTTCGATTTTAAACATTTTTTTTTTGCGTTTTGCCTTATATGATAAAAATTATAATAGATAGACACTTTAAATCACAAAAATGATTAGCAAGGCAAAATCTACTAACAAATCAAATTTTGCCAATGTAGTTAGTAGACTGTCACTCTTTATAGGAGTGATTGCCCTTAAATGAGTATTTTTTTTTTTACCCTCTATTGTGTTTTGAGCAAAAATTAAAGAAGATAGAGAGAAATTGAACAGACTAAATGATCAGTAATACAAGATCAACAAAACAGAATTTTTTGTCATGAATTCTATTCTCGTCTACAATGTTGGAACCCCCAAGGGTGACTGGGGAATAGAAGTATGGTCACCATTGGTCTTCCTCCGACCGGCAGTAAAACCCTTGCTAAAGGGGGGCGTCCGTTTGGCTGTGCGGGATGTACAAATTTGCAGCCACGTCCGGTCAGAATGGGGACGTTAAATTCGATGCCTCGTGTAAAGAGAGTGCCACGCTCTTTGCACGTTAAGAATCCTTGCAACAACTCTTTGAGGGGTCCGTAGGTGACCTGTTGCAAGGCTAAATTTCTGTCCCTATCCAATATACCCTCATTTCCCGTGGCAGTCTAAATTTCTCTAATTTGCCCTGTCCCCTCAATCATTCATTGTCTATTTAAATACTAGAGATTCCATTTCTCTTTTTTGGCATTAAATAAATGTATCCATAATGCAACATCATCTTTCAGCTTTTCCTATTATTCTTTAAAACGCTGAAAGAATAACTGCCATAGATTGGAATTTATTAATTATACAAAAGTAAGCAGTCTTCTTTTGTCTCAAATTTCATTTCAGGCAGTAGATTTGGGATACTAAGATATACAACATGTTTTCATTGATCTTTGCAAATACTTTCAAATTCACGTCACCAATTTGATAACATAAGTGATTTAACTGCAAATTTTGAAAGCTTATCGTTAGCAACGATATCCAAACCAAAGAATAATTTGAACTGTTTTTATTTTAATATAGAAATCAAAGAAGAAACAGTTGATCCTGATTTTGAAGAGCAAAGTGAGCCAACAAAAGAGGACCAATTAAATCTTGAAGAAGACATCAAACCAGCTGTTGAAGCTATGGAAGCCCAGGAATATGACACAAGAAGTGAAGCTGAGGGCAGTGATAGGGCAGCGAATAGTGATGCTGAAGAGGAAAATAAAGAGGAATCAGGTTGGTGCCATACAGGTGTTATACCATTAGATGAAAATAAAATATTTAAAGTTTGCAACACACTTGATTAGTATGTCATAGGCATTTTTCATTTACCCACTTAAGGTTTGTGTACAGTGAGGATTTACAATCATTCAAGAACAGAACAGAAATGACATATGATATACTGTAGAGTGAATGCTGGAGAAATAGTTTGATGTCTGATAAGTTGATTATTTTCAGGCATTTGAAAAGTTATTAAGAACTAGTGAAATGATTTGTTATCTTGCATATTTACAGACTTTTTTGAGAGTGGCTCAGAAAGGATGAGTAATGCTGATGAAGAAATGGAAGAGGTTGTAGAAGAGGAGGAAGAAGAAGAAGAGGACGACGAGGAGGAGGATGAAGAAGATGAAGATGGAGAGGAGGGATCTCCTTCAAGCAAAAAAATGATGAAGCGGGGAATCTCACCCATTGAATGGGATGTCCCATCAGAAGAAATCAGTGAGGTTGAAGAGGAGGAGGAGGAACATGAAGAAAGTCCTCAAGAGGAAAAAAGCGGAGAGAGTGGAGGTGAAAAATCAGATGAAGAATCTAAACGTAAGGTTTTACAGCAGCAGAGTTTTGTAATTGGATTATTGAAGAAATATCTTTGTCTGTTAGCACATTAGTTTCTGTGTGGTAATGTTAATTGAGATCCCCATGGAATTATCAGTGGTCATTTACTGAGAAGTAAGCTTTGTTTTGGTCAAAGTTTTGGGTCTACCCTGTTTAAAAAGGGTCTTGTTTCCAAATTTGTTAGTGCTAAAATTTCATTTTATTATTTGAAAAGTATCTAAAAAAAAAAACAATTGTAGATTTTAGAAATTGGATTTAATTTTGTTATCTGTTTTGATTTTCAAAGAGCAAATATAAAATAATATGAATAAAAATATAGAATATTTTATTTTTCCATTTGAAAATTGTACACCACTATTTGAATGTTAAAACAAAACAGGTATACAAGAAAAATATATATATTGTCAAACACTTTACATTTATAAAAAGATAAGAAGGTCAGTGGCTGCTTTATATTAAGTCATATAGAAAGCAAGAAGGTTCTTAATTCTACAGATAAATTTGAGGTTATCTGTATGACCAACAAACTTAAATAATCCATTTGTATCTGATTATTTCATCTACAGAAAGAAACTCCATCTTTTACCATTAGCAAAATATCTTTGAATGGATCACTCAAAATAACTTTTCTTATAACAATCAAACAGAAACTATATTTTTTTTTTTTATAGCATTCCATGTTTCTTGCATGTGATTGCTGCTGTCAGTGTGAATTTGTGAAAGTGTAATGTTGTTGCAAATATCCATAGTCCATTTATAAGTGAATAACAGAAAATTATTAAGAAAAAAAATCAGATTTTTCTCATTTGCTATCTTTTGATTATGAAGAATCTTTTGTCTAAGTTTTGTAAAATTCAATGAAGGTTTTACAAAGTTATGAAAGTTTTAAAAACTTTAACCACAGACTGTACTGACATGTTGACTTAAATCACATAAATATAAGTAGAAATGCTAGAGATGAATGCACATCTTACAATCTACTTGGTCAAATCATAGGCAGATACATAGAAGAGAAGGATATGGGCGTGGTCAAGGGTCCAGGAACAGTCATATTTGCCAGTCATGTCCTGAATTGAAAGCTATTTGTCCTAAACGGCAGATTGGGACTTTTTTTACAGAAATAATTTCAGTCATTTCATTGAGATCAGTCTTTGTTATCGTCATTTTGCGCTTGTTTTTGTTTTGTTATCCTTTTCCTGTAATAAAATTGCCACTCCGGTATAGTATGATAGGTAAAGTGTGATAATCCTGAGGGCCCTCCCAATAATCATATTAATGCCTCCGGGAAATATTGGCTAATGATCGCTAAACACTTTTTACCTGTGTTTTTAATTCACACCTGACAGTGATCACAAGCTCAAAACTAATATTATAAAAAACTTCAAATTCTATGACGACTTTCTCATTATTTAATTACTTTCACTAAAGACAATCTGCAATTCTGATTTAAAATTAAAACTTGATTTAATTTAAGTAGATAAAAGTAATTTTTCAAGAGAAAAACGTGTGCTTTATTTACTATGTAATACGCATGCATTAAATTGTATTCACGAGATTAGACACTTAATTGTAAAATGCAAAATGATTTCATGCTAAATCAAACAAATGCAACTAGTATCTGTTATATTCAAACACATTTAAAGGTAATAAAATTAAAAATCCCGTGATTTCCTGTCAATTTGACAAACAGAACGAATCCGGGAAATAAATCCGGAATTTCTCGTACTTTAGTATTGTCATGAAGCTTCTGCATTTAATTTCGTCTTCAAAATCGAAAGAAATCTGGCAATGTCTGATAAAGTTACCATTTTGAGTCATTAAAATCATTTCAATTTTAAACTGTTGCGTTCAATTAACTGTTCTTGAACGTTTTTAGAAAAACGGTAAGAAAATTCATGAAGTAAATGCGATGGAACAGTCAACATAAGTTCGTTGATGCTATGAATCTAGTGTGAATAATTTCGACAGTATGAAAAAGGGGCCCAACTTTTAAGTCATCTCAAAATAACCGAAATTGTGTAAAATAAATTCTTGATCCTTGGGTGTTGTAATCAGTGTTCTCCCCAGGCCGATATGACGCTGCGGTGCCGCAGCGCCTTCATAATATTTTTGTAGATCCCGCAGCGTCTTAATTGGCCGCTGTCCCTTAATACTTGATCCCGCAGTGTGTTAATTTTCACATTTTCATTATAAATGTTGGTTAAAATTGTCAAGTTACTGATCACCGCTGATGGGTCGGTCAGTGTTACGCAATAACTGATAATTAGTTTTACCTGAGCCACGCTTATCTCAGCCTTATCAGACTATGTTATCAGGTAATAGCGTAAATGATCATCAAGAAGATAGATATTTTTTGAAGAAAATTAAAAATTTTAAAAACTTCAGTGCAGAAATTGAAGAAATAGATCGCAAATACATTGTATTTACGCATCGTGTGTGTGATCACTTGACCATTTATATAACGAATTTTTTCATTGGTCGAGAGGAAGAATCTATTTAAACACGACCAATCATTGTGAACGTGTTGAATACACATAATAAATTTGAATACACATTGCTAAAGATATTTACGATGAAAACTATGAATGAAAGTATTATTAGTTGAAAAAATTAAAATAAAGTTTGATTAAAGATAACGAGGAGTGATTTACTTTAATAGAAAGTGAAAAAATGTTGCTTGCAAGGTAAATTCGTCTGAAACTGTCATATTTTTAGAAATAAAATGATCATTGAACATCGATCGTGAATCTGTGCGTCGGGAAATATGTGACAATCAACACGGGTACAGAATCCCCGCAGCTTCTGTATAATGTCACTGGTAAATAATTTCAATGGTTTTAACTTTAATGAATTTGTAAAGTTTCGTTTATATCTACCTGCCAAAGATAGGATTAAACAATAATACGCACGGAAGCGTAATGTGAAACTACGGAAACTGGTCAGCTGTTCATTTATAAAAAAAAATTGTTTTAAAAAGTTGTATACCAAATATCTTAACCATATTCGATTTTATTAATTATGAATGAACATGTTCTCTGCAAATAACAAAGCGGTGAATTATAAGCAAAAGGTAGATGATGGAAGTAGAAGTTTTTTTCAGACCAATGACTTCTAATGAAAAGGGGAATACACCTCCGTCTACACTGTCAGTATAAGCAGATTTCATTGCTTCTCCTAATCCCAACCAAGCTCAAGTTTTAGCAATTGATAAAAGCAAGCACCATGTTTCTGGTTTCAATGACAAGTGGCTGACTGAGTTTTCATGGCTTAGAAATGTTAAATAGGGTATAAGCAAAAGTTATTGTGAGTGGGGGTTTAATTTTTAACCCTGAAGAGGATAAAGACAAAGTTGAGGAACAGACTGTCCAACAAAATAACACTATCTTGAAACAATATCCCTAGAAAGAGCAGAGAGTAGAGATGAATATTTATATTTTGACTTCTTTAATGGACTGAATATAAATAACTTTTGTGTTTAAAATCAATTTATTTCATATATATATTCTTGTAATTCATTAATACTCTGCATTATTAAACACAAAGCATTATAATTCATATTGCATGTCATGATTTATGACTTTTTGCTTCAGATCACAAACGTTCACTTTTAAAAAAAAGAGTTACACGCCCTTGAATTTTGCGCCTTAAAAAAATCCTGGGGAGAACACTGGTAATAGATGAAGATTTATCATTTGACAAACATATTTGCAAAAAAGTGAATAAAGCCAACTCAATTTATGCTCACCAAAATGATCATTTAAAAATCTAAATGCTGAAAATTTCCATCAACTATACAAAACATTAGTGAGAATACATGCTAAGTTCAGTCAGGGCACCTTTAAAAAAATATATATAGTTAAATACTATGACCAATTATCAGCAAAGAACAGAAAAATGGAAAAAAAAAGATATCTTCAAAATTTTGCTCTTGATACTGTCTTTGATCTTGAAATAGCTTCTGTTCAAGTTAAGTAAAATTCCTTGGAAGGTTTAACCACAGACTGATATTTAATGGTGAGGACACTCCAGACAGAATGTAGGATCGCTATGTCTTATCTTTGCAACTTTTGTCAAACTTGTCATGATATACAAACTCTTAACATCAACTTGCTGCAATTACAGCTGTAACTTATTTTATACCATCCACCTGATCATCTTGAGACCATGACATACATTACTTGCAACCACTAACCAGAAAACTAATACTTTCCAACAGCTATTCAGCTCTGGAATACAGCCAGCATCTGTTATAAGACTACAGTCTCTGGAAAATTTCGCTGGAGACATTGCAGAGATTCATCTTACTCCATAAGACAGTTCCAGATTTTTACCAGTGTGAACATGCACAGTACTGTTTTGAAAGCTCTACATATTCACCCTTTTGTATATACTGTGAATTTATTTATTTTTGTGAATAGGAAAAAATTGTATTTTGGTGGATGATTGAGGTGTTACTAATGTGTATTTTGTTGAACATTTATATTCAAGGTTCACCTATGCCGACAAAATCCATGAAAATTAGTACCTAAGGAATAACAAAAAGTAGCATGCTTCCTTTGCTTGTATAAGCACAAGTGGGATATTACTCAGTTAATAAAGTCTGCACTTTATTTGGATGAAATAGAAGAGTTGTCCTCATTATTTAAGTGATTGTTCTTCTATATTCTGAACTTTCTTTTTTTTTTGTAGGTGATTCCAAGCTGAAATATGTGTTCCGTAATGCAAGGTTCTTTCTCATTAAGAGTAACAATCATGAAAATGTTGCACTTGCAAAGGCCAAAGGGGTGTGGTCAACACCACCACAGAATGAAGGCAGATTGAACACAGCCTATAGGGTGAGCTAGAAAACAAATAATTTCACATTTTTCTGATTTAAACGTTCTTTGGAAGGTTATGTTTGATAAAAAGAAATGATGTTAAGATTTTAATACGATATCAAAATAAAATAAACGTATGCATATGGAATAAAAGTTGATTTTAAATCTAAGTAATTACATTATAAACTAGTAGATTTTATCTATGTTACTTTTTTATTAACATGAATAATTGAATGCATGTACATTATGTGCTGAAAATAATGACAATTTTTTGTTTTAATTTTGTACTGTGGTGAATAATTTGGTGTCATTGAAACAATTAGAATATCTTTTTCAGAACCATGACAATGTGATATTAATATTTTCTGTTAAAGAAAGTGGAAAATTTCAAGGTATTGTAGTTAATATAATAAAGTTAGGTTGAAACCATATTTACGAAGAAATTTATTCAGCTCATTCTTGAAGCTGTTACTTTCGTTGCTGCTGTGAAGATTGATTCTTCTGCTTAGAGATTAGAAACTAACCAGGTTTAGGGACTATTCCAGAAAAAAATAGGGGGTGATTTTGGAAGGCACTTAATATAACAATACATGGGTGATAGGATTCCTAACAGTTTTCACAGTACAAATACATTTATAAAACATGGTGAAAATGATTTGATTAAAATATAATTTTAAAGAAATTGTTATAGGAATTTAGTAATCTACTGTCATTGACTCATATTTAGCTGATTTAACCACCGAAAAATATGCCTATCTTTCTATAGAACTTCAATAATGCATCTAAATAAAAAATTGCTATATCGTGTGTTTTATTTTGTCCAACATACTTCAATGGAATAATACAAGATATTAAGCACACAACTCTCCCAATCTTTCCACCAGTGATTTAATCTTTTGACTATTTTCAGGTTATGCAAGAATAGCAGATGAATCCACTAAAGATCATCCACCAATCAGATGGGTTTTACCGCCTGGTTTAAGTGCTAGAGCACTTAGTGGGGTATTTAAACTTGACTGGATAAACAGGTTTGATATGTTAAACTTTGCTATATATATGTACACAGTACACAAGTATGTTAAACCTCACTTTGATAGAATTAATTGATTCTGGAAATTAATAGATAACCATTCAAAAATACATTATGATAAGTTTGATTAATGTAATTAGGAAACACTAACTTGGTGGATTTGTTAAAGCAGGAAGACCTAACTGCAACTAAACTCTAGTTAAAAGTTTATCATTTTCAGAATTATGATTGTAAACAAGTTAGCCTGAAAACAGGGCACCCCTTCTACAGCTTATTCTGATCAATTTTGAAATCCAATTAAAAAAAAAATGAAATTCCAGTGTAGGGCTGGCTTATTGCATCTGAATTTATTTGAATCTGAATGAGAGTGAATGAATGGATGAAAAAGGGTTGGAATTTGACTATTGTTGACAAATGGCATGAATCAGGTGAGCGATACTGGAATCCTTTTTATGTGTCTTATTATCGATGAAAAATGAAAAAAATATAAGGCTGTTCAGTTTAGACATACAGAATACCAATAGAAGGTACTTTCAAAATTAAGTAACCACCTAAAGAGGCAAATTAAAAATTTCACTTAAGTTTACACTGTTTTTGACACCCACCCTTAGTGGTGATTTCTGTGCCATCCCTGCGACCCATGTATGTTTTTTTTAACAGCCCTAAGAAAATGTTAAACAAATTCAAGGATGAACTTAAATATCATAGAAAATTTTCAGGAGAGAATTACCTTTCACTAAGACACAACATCTGCACAATGGTTGGAATGACAACAAACCTGTGAAAATTGGTCGTGACGGACAGGTATGCATTTATGTCTTCAAATTTCTGTTGGAATATTTAACAGATTTATACATTTATCCAAAAAAAATTGAAACTTTATTCATAGAATGTTCATTAGAAGTAAATTGATTTTTGATGTTATAATCTTAACTTGTAGAATTTTCATTTGATGTGCACTAATTTATGATTAAACTACATCAAAAGAATAAGGAAAATTGTTCCAATGCAAGATGATTTGTACAATATATAAATGAAAACAATGAAGCAGTGTTTTAAGCCTGAAAACATCTAGCCAATGTACCTTGTTACCAGTTAAAGTAATTGCTAATACCAAAAGAACCGAGTGTAAGATTAGTTTTAATTGTTCAGGTTCTATATATGTTTGTGTAGAACAAAATCAATATTATTAATTCATTGAAGAATTTTACTTTTTAGGATATTGAGCCAAAATGTGGAGAAATGTTGTGTAAACTTTTCCCAGCAGATGATAATGTAGACTTGAGTTCCATTGTGCGGAAAGCTCGTAAAAGGCATTCTGTACGGAGAGCTAATGGAAGTGGAGGAGGTGGTGGAGAGGGAGGAGGAGGAGGTGGTGGTGGAGGAGTTGTTATTGAACGAAGAAGAGAAAATTTCCGTGGAAGAGATTTCCGCGGTCGGTTTGGACGTGGTGATTTCTTTAGGTTAGCCTTCAACATGTGTAATTCTAAAGGAATAACTTGAACATTGTATTATATTACACGTGACCACAACATGTAAAACCAAGCTGCTCACCAGAAATCTTACATGGTGACAAAACTTTGTCCTATTCTTGGTCCAAAAAAATGGAAAGAAACATAGAGGGTGATACTTCTGAACATCCAAACTTCTTTAACTTTTTCAAAAACAAAAATAAATTCAAAAATTACTGTCTAAATTTGTAAATTTTATGTGGTAAGTATAGACTGTTGAACACTAACTGTCTAAAATCATTTGTATTTATTACTTTATTACTTTTGAAGATGTTCCAGGTCTTTTTAATCTTACAATATCAAGAAGAATCTTAGCAGGGACAAAAAAAGCTGTATAATGAAAAATGCGATGAAAATGTGCTAAATGGATTAAAATTGCCATATATTACGAACTTAATTTTCCGCAAACAACTTCTTCAATGAAGACCATTCCAGGACTGAATTCTCTTCTTTTGAAAATTTAAGGACTTAATTTCAGTTTGCAGTTTAAAGGACTATTTTAATAATAGTTGTGATTAAAGGACTAATAATCTATGGACTTAAATTCTATCAAATGGACTTGCTGTGTAAAAATGATATAATAGGTTTGTAGTGTGGTGCCCTATGGTAAATACAGGACTTAAATTTCTGTGTTTGGGTAAAACGAGCTTACTCATAACACTAAAGGAGATCACATGTTAAAAAGGACTTATTAAACTGTCCATATTTGTGGTCTGGTTTTGATATTAAGTGTGGATTTAATCTGAAGAATAGAGTAGCAAGTGAACATTTTACATATTAAATGACAATGTTAGTTATGTGGACACTTATTCCACAATAATATGGTGACAATAGCCATTAACTTCTTGTGTGGATTTGTGTACTACGGTATGTTATATTCAAGTAATCATTAGGTATGGGTAAAATGAGTTAATAGTTATATGTTAATTCAATTGGTCATTTGAACATGTCATGATTTTAATTTTGTGTTTTACTGAACCTGTAATATTGTATTATTTAGCTAACATCATATGTGTCACTGCCTCTGAAAATACTTTTTACAGGGAGTTAAGATTTACTTTTATATAGGATTAATTGAATTCCTGCAGATGATAAAGCATTTATTTCAAGTTTCAAGTGAAGCTTAATTTAGTAAACAAGTTAATGCCCTTTAAATGCAAATATTAGTTTCTTATAAACTTCTTTGGGAGGACCTTTTTAACTTGGGGAACATCATGCCATATAAGTATTTAGACTTTTTTATTTTTATAAGACGATTAGTGCCTCCTAATTTTTACAAGGAAAGATGGGCATCAAATAATTTTGGAGGTAGAGTTATCTCCCTTAATCACTCATATTTTCTATCTATTGACTAATTTCTCGTTTTTTTTTTCTGTTATTTTCAAAATACTGCCTATTTACAAGCCTATAGGGAGCAATTTTTGAAGGGCTTAAGTTGCAAACTTACTAAACATAGGCAGCATATTTCTTTGTTTGTAGTTCTTGAGATAAAGGAATTTTAATTAAAAAAAATATAAGCAAACCTGAAAAAATGTTATAACTTCCCAAACTTGAGAATTGTAGGGGTTTAAAAAAAATCTTGTATAAGCATAAGAGGCAATTATTGAAAGCTTAAAAACCAATTTACATTTTACCTTGACAGTCTGTCGTTGTGGTGTCTTTACACAGCTTGTCATGAATTGTTATTTGAAAACTCTGTAAATTGTTTGAAAATGTTTTATATAAATATATATAGTTTACCATTATGTACCAATGTTTATAGACTTCAGACTTTCATTATGTGGACAATTTAAAAATACAAAATGGTCATCATAATTGACTCCCTTGAAATCGTTGGCGAAAATGAAAACAACGTTGGTGAAAAATAACATCTTTAAAAATTTTTAGTCTTTTGGGATATAGTATTCCTTAAGGAAAAAAAAATGGTAATGTAAAAGAAATTTGTGATGGCTGTGACGTCACTTTTTGAAATAGAAACACAGGAAATATTTCTTATCCACAGTCATTAAAATACCTACAAAGCCTTTAGTCAGGTGAGAAATACAACCTTATTAGTTTATCCTTTAAAGTTTTTTATTGTAAAATTTTTTATTTAATGTTGATATGGTTAAGAAATTGTTGACAACCATTTAAAAGAGTATTTTGATAAGGCCTCTTTTCTTCAAGATGAGATAGGAAATGGGTCTTTTTGTTACAAAACTGGCATATCTGCATTCTTTTTCTGAGGTCAATTTAAGGAACAACTAAATACCTAGCACTTTATGTTTTCTAGGCCATAAAGCAGTTAAAAATGCAGCTGATTTGGTCAAATCTCACCAAAATATCAAATTTTTTACCTGTTTATTTGTTCTATTTCACTTTCATCCACTTGAAACACTTTTCGTCTTAAATAATGGACTGAAGTAAATCATTGGGGCTAAATAAGCTTATACTGTGCCTACTCATTTAATATGGTACTGAGCTACTTTTTTTGGTTTTGGGTTGTACATTTGAAAATTATAAATTTTAATAGGATATCATAAGTATTAAGCGAAACTTAAATGTTCATCATTTTCAATTGAACCCAACAGAGACATTGATGCATATCAGAGAGTGCTGCTGAAGTTGACTACTATAAGTTATGAGCACTGAAGTGGATGCATGTAGATCTTGCAGTAAGTTATGAACACTGAAATTGATGCTACAGGCTTAGATCTCATAGATCGCACTGTAAGTCATGAACCTTGAAGTTAATGCTTCAGACCTAAATCATGCAGATCTTACTGTATGCCATGAGTGCTGAAGATGATGCAACAGGCTAATTTCATGTAGATCTTACTGTAAGTCATGAGCTCTGAAATTGATGCTACAGACTGCAACCTTACTGTTAGTCAAGAATGCTGAAGTTGATGCTACAAGCTTAGGTCATGTAGATCTTACTGTAAGTCAAGAATGCTGAAGTTGATGCTACAGGTTTAGATCTTACTGTAAGTCATGAGCTCTGAAGTTGATGCTACAGACTGCAACCTTACTGTTAGTCAAGAATGCTGAAGTTGATGCTACAGGCTTAGGTCATGTAGATCTTACTGTAAGTCAAGAATGCTGAAGTTAATGCTACAGGTTTAGATCTTACTGCAAGTCATGAGTGCTAAAGTAAACAGTACAGACTTAGGTCATGTAGATCTTACTGTAAGTCATGATTGCTAAAGATGATGCTACAGGCTTAGGTCATGTAGATCTTACTGTAAGTCAAGAACTCTGAAGTTGATGCTACAGGTTTAGATTTTACTGTTAGTCATGAACACTTAATGGTACAGACTAAGGTCATGTAGATTTTACTGTTAGTCATGAACACTTAATGGTACGGACTAAGGTCATGAAGATTTTACTGTTAGTCATGAACACTTAATGGTACGGACTAAGGTCATGAAGATTATACTGTTAGTCATGAACACTTTATGGTACGGACTAAGGTCATGAAGATTTTACTGTAAGTCATGGTAGCTGAAGTTGATGCTTCAGGTTGAAATCTTACTGTAAGTCATGACATTTAAGATACAGGCTTAGGTCATGTAAATCTTACTGTAAGTCATGAGGACTGAAGGTTTAGATATTACTGTAAGTTTTGCTTGCTGAAGAATTAGATCTTACTGTAATAGTACAGACTTATATCATGAAGATTTTGCTGTAAGTCACGAGTGCTGAAGTTGATGCTCCAGGTTTAGATCTTACCGCTAGTCATGATTGTTGAAGTTGATCTTACAGGCTTAGGTCTTATAGATCTTACTGTTAGTCATGAACGCTGATTTTGATGCTGCAGGCTTAGATTTTACTGTAAATGATGATTTTTTAAGTTGATGTCCATACCACATTCATGTATCAAACAGCTGTCCACCAACCTTACTTTAGATATTGTAATATATATATAAGATGCCTTTTTTCAAGACTATAGTCTTTATTCTTTTATTCTGATTTATTAGAAGTTTTTCACCTGCAATTGTGTAATTATTTGAGGAGTTTTTCCTTTGTTCCAAGGTTTCGAAATTTAGTCCTTTTTTGTGAAATTTCCAACAGACTTTGTGTTATCAACTACAACAGTGTTCATCCCAGAAGGTCCCGTCATGCCTGTAGTATAATGAAAACCAATTGCTTAGAACCATAAAGACTACATTGATTCCTATTGGTCAATATAGACATTCTTTCTGCTATGAAATAACTAACATTTGATTTTTAACTTGTTTTAATTGGGAGATTCTCAACAAAGGCTCATCATTTCATGCTGCTTAGAGCCGTTGAACCTTTTATGAGGTGAAGGGTCATAATCTTTTTAGTGCTATATAAACTACTACTTGGTCAAACTTGATTTAATTTAGTATTTTTCAATCTAGTGGGGAAAAAGGGGATCACTTGTGGTAGGTTAATATAGTTGGTATGCAGTTGTTTAAGCATTCGAACATCTCATTTCCATGGAGATTTTATGACCACACCCCTTCAGTCATGCTATTGTATTGGCATCTGCACTTGATTCTATGGAGATTATGTGGTGTGCCCCCTTATCATTGGTCATTGACATTTAAACTTTTGCATAGCTCATGTTTAGGTCAGATTAAAAGGAATAATTGATGATAATTCAATGGTATTTGGTTTGCAGTTCTAATAGCATTGGCATTTCTTATTTCCACAGTTTATTTGGCAATTCACCTTTCGACATGGTTCATTGACTTTAAATATTTTTAAATATTGTGACATTTTTATTTCAACATTTGCATTGTACTATTGAAACTACATAAAGGCGACACATATCTTTGTGTCAAGTGTTCATTTTAAAAATTATTTTAAATGTCACGTACTGATTGGCTTTAAAGAAGAATTGTCTGATACACATACACTTACATTGTATTCATGAAATTTGGAAAATGGACTTGCATGTAAAAGTGACCTCACTATTACATGTACATTTCTACTTCATGGAAATTGTCTCCTGAATATTTTATATATATTTGAGAAAAATCTAGTCATTATTGCTGTCATGAAACCTCTTCAAAATCATTGATAAATATTAAGGTTTTTTTTATTATCAAAGTTGGATGCATTTTCTACCTTTCTATCATTTAATATATTTTTATATATAAATAAGAAGAAGTGGTATGAGTGCCTTTATCATGTTTATTATTCCCTTTAGTGTTGTAATTTATTTGTCCAATAAGACATAACAGTAAACTAACATAATTATTGGACAAACAAATTTCCATCTAGCATTGTAAATAAAATTATTGTCTGGTAGGTTGTTGAAGCTAATTTTCAGAATATCATTAAAACACTTTAAAATTCTGAAAAAAAAAAACATTTTTTATAAGGACAGACTAGTAAAAATAAAACAGAAATCCGAAAAAATTTAAAAAAGAGAAGGAATGATAAGGCCACTGTTTTCCCTAAAATTCTTTTTTTTTACAATTCTTTTTGGTAAGGCTGGGTCTCAAATTGAATTGTCCCAAAAGTTTGTAAAATATCCATTTAATTAAAAAAAGAAATCCTGTTCATAACATCAGAATGACATTTAAAATGCAATGATAGATGGTATCACCCTTTTAATTTATGAATAAAATCGATATTTTTTTGTCATTTAAGGGACCACATAATGGCTCTTGCCTGAATTCTATTTTTAAAGTCTTTTTTTTTTCTTGAATATGATGATAATATGTCTTAGTTTAACTTGAGGTATTAAAGAAAAGAAAATAATTTGACAAATAAAAAGTGTCATTTTTATACTAGGACGCTCCATTTCTATTGTTTGATTTTAACTAGATATTAAAATGTGGCATAAAATGTACACATATATTGCTGATACTTGGGGAAGCAAGTTTATGTCATTCTTTTGATAAATTATATTTCCAAACTTTATTGAATGTTCTTAGGTAGTTAAACTTTTATAAAGAAAGTATTGGTACAGTTTTCAAAAGGTTCAAAAGTTTCAAAATAATATTTTCCCAGCAATACACATTGTATATTTTGAGTTTAGAGGGTTCAGATAAAGTTAAATTACAGTAAAAATGTCAGACAGGAAAAGGTGAACAATAGCATGTGAGTGTTCAAATGACCAGTTGGTTTACCATTTATACCAATCATGTAATTTTCTATTTTGTTCTGTGTAAATTTAAGACTTTTGTTAAGCCTCATATTTCTTCACACAAAGTAAAAATGCAATCATGAGCAAATTAATATTATTTTTAGACTTCAGATTGGGGAGGTGGGTTTTTTTTGGAAAAAAATATATGATAGGACTTAGAAGTAATAACAAACATGATTTTTTTCAGAAAAAAATGTATACAGCAATCACAAATGGATATGTTTTGCCTCATGATTGCTACATTTCACTTTCAATCCTGAAAGCTTTGTTAATTTAAAAGTTTTTCGGATGTTATTTATTTTGAAAAAGTTTTCTGAATGTATATACATGTATGACATAAGACCTTTTTCCTGTTGCAGACGCAGGCGCATGGATGATTTTGAGGGACCAAGAAGAAAACGACCAAGAGGAGATTTTGATAGAGAGGGAGGTAGGTTTAAAGTCTTAAGTTATGATTGATTGATTGTTGGTTGCTAAACGTCAAGTGGCCTTAACACATGTTCTGAATTTGTGCACACAACTTTTACAGTGTCAAAGCTTGAAAGTCGTCCTGAACATGCATGAAAAATTTGCCACTGGAAGTTAAGCAACCAACAATCAATTAATCAAAGCTTGAGAAAATTAATATATCAAGTTTTATAGATTACAAATTTGTCAACACTGAAAATGAACGCAAGTAGATAAGATCGCAATAATGAGAAGTCCCATTCTGATATCTTATACTTATATCTGTACGCAGTTTTCCTAAAATCGCAATAATTAATCTCGCATTTTGGTCCATTATTCAAAAATGTAATAATAAATGCAATTTCTGAATTTACAGTATTATAATGAAAGTAAGAGCCTTGAGTAATATAATTCACAGTTCATACAATTGAAAATTCATAATTGTGACTAATTGACACATGTTTGAATATTACAGGTAGAATGTTTAGAGATCGACCTGACAGGTAAGTGAACCTATTACACTGCAACAATCTATGATTAATAAAAAGCACAACAATTAAACTATATAATGTAGTCTCAGTCAGATTCAGGTTGCAACAGAATAGCTCTTACAAGACAGGAGGCCAAAATTTCTGCAAAATTAGTAGTGGATTTCTCACTAGTAATTACATTGTTTACCTGTTCAAATTGTTTCTTGTGTTGTTACAGGTGTAAATTAGTTGCTTTGTCATTGATGTTTATCCCACCTCTTTTATTCATGTGGATAAATGCTAAAACTTGTTTTAGTCTGTATAAAGGAGAAGGTTCACAAGCCCTAAAAATCTATGAGATTTCAAACTTTCAATCAATATCAACAGAAAATATTTTGATATACTGTATTGATACAAAATTTAATTGTTTAACATTGTTTTTAGTTATGATGTCAACATTAAATTAGTTTAATGTACTTTTAAGTTGAATTATATATTCTATGACCAATTTGGACCTTTTCTGTATATCATATGGGCACCTCGCTGTCTTACAGGTGTAAGTAGTTGATCTTCAGTGGTCTTTAGCCTGTCAATACTGAGATTGTGAATTGGAAACCCACTCGATTTCCTTTCTTAATTGATTAATATTGCGAGGTAGTTGTTCTCTCCGAATACTGTGGCTTCCTCCACCATTAAAAAAGGACTGCCATGATATAGACAATAGTGCTTAAAGTGGCATTAAACAATGATCAATCAATCAATCTGTATCATATAATTTTGGGCACAAGTTCTGACTAAAATGTCGGGGTTTTTATATGACTGCAAAAATTTTAAAATTTTATGTCGTATATTGGTATTACGTTGTCGTCGTCGTCAGCGTCGTCCGAAGACAGATGGTTTCCGGATAATAACTTTAGTATAAGTAAATAGAAGTCAATAAAATTTTAACACAAGGTTTATAACCACTAAAGGAAGGTTGGGATTGGGGGGGGTTATGGTCCCAACTGTTAAGAATTAGGGGCCAAAAAAGTGGCCCAAATAAACATTTTTGTAGTTTCCAGACAATAACTTGTGTTAAAAGTGTATGAATTTCTCTGAAATTATACCACAAGTTTTCATACTACAAAGGGATGGTTAGGAATTGACTTTGGGGGTTATGGCTCAAACCATTTAGGAATTAGGGGCAAAAAAAGGGGAAAAACAAGGGTTTTTCTGGTTATAGGACAATTGAGACAATTTAAAAGCAGTGTAAGGGAGGTAGTCCAAATCAAAATCCAAATCAATTTAAATAACAATGTTAGATTACCTCCCTTACACTGCTTGTAAATTATGTATTCAGAAATGATGATTGTCTGAGATACTGACCATAACTTGAGGGAAAGAATTATTTTTTGGAATAAGGGAAAGGGGGAAGGTGAAAAAAATTGGAGGGGGACAATTTTTCTCATTTCAGATTTCAGAAATTAAAAGAAAATTTCTTCAAATATTTTTTTTTTGGGGGGTTAATATTCAACAGCATAGTGTATTGCACAAACGTAAAAAATTGAATAACCAATTTGAGGTTCTTTGACTACAATTATTCTGTGTCAGAAACCTATTATGTGTCAAAAAATTAATTACAATCCAAATTCAGACCTGTATCAAGCGTGAATATTGTGTCCATTTTGGCCCCAACTTTTCAGGGTTGGACATCTGCGGTTGTATCCAGCTGCGCTCAGCGAAGCAATTTATTTTTTTGGTGAGAATGTGACTTCCAAAATACAAATTTGTTTTGATAGACAATGGGGAAAAAAGTTTTACAAAAATAAAGCCTTGTCAATGTATATATCAGGAATTTAGTATAAAAAAAACCGAAATCCTGATGAATATCTTATTTTGAAAACACAGCCTTGTATAGTTCTTCTAGGTGAGTAGGTGTTATATATTGTGTGAATGTAGTGTGTTTAACATATTACACTGTGTTGTAGATCACCCAGATATGCAGGAGTAAGAAGAGATACATTTATAAATGGGGTAAGTAAAAAATTTTATTCATGTTCATCATTTTGAATATTGAGAAAATTATCTGCACAAGAAAAACACAAATCTTATATTTTTGATAAAGCCCTTGATTTCTGAGGAATTGTTTTAACACTAGTTATTTTTTTTTGATCGATAGACTTTAATGTTACAGGAATAAAAATGATTTTCTTGTGTGTTTCAGTCTTACAATGACTACATCAGAGAATTCCAGCATGCCAGACCACCCGTACCCCCAGGGATGCCACCTTATGGACCACCGGTTAGTATTTTCTTCTCAATTTGATATAGCCATTGTAATAAAGTGTTATATTACATTTCATGTTTATAAACAAATTACACCAACAAAATTATGAGAGAAAATAGTTTATAAACAAATTACACCAACAAAATTATGAGAGAAAATAAAACTGCATGTACTTGTAGTCTATATACTGACATGCATAAATTGCAAAAAACAGCTAATTAGGTAGATTTTAAAGAGTGAAAAAAACAGGCACATAAAGCACCATTTAATACCCGGTTTTATTGAAACTCTTTAACAAAGGAAAAAACACACCAAAGCATGTTTTAAATGTTCATCAAAATCAGGTCAAATGGGGTTACTAAAGGGGTTTCACTGCATTGAAGGAACTAAAGGATAACCAGCTTAAATCTGCAATGTTTACATTTTAGCCACCTGGGTTTGGTATGGAACCTATGCCACCTTATCATAATCCATATCATGAAAGACAAAGAGAATACATGCCAGTCCCAGAATATGCTCAGTCTGCATCACGGTCGGACAAACGATCTGTAAGTACTAAGTATGCCGTATAATAAGTGTTATATCCCTTTGAAAAGAACAAAAATCATGAGTCAAAGTGACTGGTTAATTGATAAAATGATAATTTTATGAAAAAGTCAGTGCATGATTGCCATACTATGACTGAAATGGTGCAATAATTATTGATGTAAATTATTATATTTAAATATGTTTGTGCAATAATTACATGGAGTTGAAAAATTAGCTTGAAATTTGGTAGCTTACATTAGAAAAAGTACTACAGTCTTTCAATCTGAAAACAAATCTAATTGGCCGAATGAGGAGAAAAATGTCAGCTTATGATCAAAGTTTAACTTTCAGTGATGATGTACAAATAGTCTATATAGTCATCTAATGATACATACTAACATGTCAAATATCCTATTTAAATGTCAAATACACTTATATAACAAAAGAAAAACAAACCTTGGCATGTAAACAGCTTGAATAGGAAAAGAAATTTTCAAAGATTTGATAAATCAATGATATTTGGTATGCAATTTAGATAAGTGATTATGTGACCCTATACCTTCAGTCGTGGTTCTTTGATTTGCAATGTTTTGAAAAGTTAACATGTTAAATTTTTTACATTTTAATATAAAGGAAACAAGTTTGATTAACCATAGTGCAAAAATCTGTTAAGTTGGAGGGACACATATATTGCAGGAATCTCCTAAATGTTTGTTATATCACCACAGACTTCGTAAGATTCAAGTTTTGGATATTAATCATGAATCATCTATCTCCAAAATTTGGCAAATATAACTGTCAATGAACCCTTTGGTGAGACATAATAATAAAAAGAGAACTATATTAACATTTATACTTAAGAAAGATTTAGTTTATAAAGAATACCATATTCCTAAGTTATGTCTAGAAGTTTATTGTCTTTTTTGCCTTTCAGTATGAAAGAGATGTAGATGATTTCTTAAGGAGAACTTCAGAACCAATGAGACGTAGGAGTCGTGAACGAGATCGTAGCAGGGAACGAGACCGTGAACGTGAACATGGAAGAGAAAGAGAACACAGACATCGCCACAGAGACAGGCGATCTTCACGATGATGATAATTGAATGAGAGGAATGTGAGGGCATTGTTATGAGAGGAAGGAGTGTGTTGCATTGGATGTGCATTAAAAATGGATAGCTGTCTTTCATCAGAATGAGTGATTTTAATAAGTGATGAAGAAAATCATTTGATGAACAAAAATGAAATGAAAGTGCTATCGATCTATTGTCATTTATTTTTAGCATTTGTGTAAATGTTTTTTATACATTTTAAATCTTTTTATTTTGTGTATTTATAGCAATTGTATGTGAATCATACACTAATAAATGTCATTTGTATAATCATTTGTTTTTCAATCTAAGCTTAGAGTAGTTATGAAAAATTAAGGTTACACACTGGGTTATGCTTTCTCAGAATTTGTATGATGTCTTTACTCAAAATCCATTCATTGCATCTGTACTGATTGAAATTTTAATCTGGGAAAACATGATTAAGTTGAGATTCTTAATGTGCCTGTCCCAAGTCATGAGCCTGTAATTCAATGGCTGTTGTTAGTTGATGTCTGCCGTGTTATACCCTCACTCTAAAAGTGGATGATGATGATAATGGATGGCTGTTAAACGTCCAGCAGCAAATTTAATGAATATTCAGGACGAGAACATGTTAATTTAATATCTACCCTGCATTGTGCTAAATCGTCACGTTGAGCCAGATAGATTTTTAACTTGCTAGTTCACAAGATAACAGTCCTCAGGAAGACGTTTCACCCTACCCAGACACATTATTCTGACTCTGAGGCTGACCAGTCTTTGCTTTTACTCCGTAATGCCGTGTGCTTAGGAGAGAAGTAGAAAATACTTATTTTTAAGTCTGTGGTTTGACCTGGCCAGGGTTCAAGTTTGAACCCACAACCTCCCACACTCGAGGGGAAAATGAGACCACCAAGGTGGTGTCTTAAAGTGGAGGCTATATTTACAATCACCTTGTACATCTGCCTGTTTGTCAAACAAATATATTTATCACACATTTTACTCAGAAATTACTAAACAGAAGGACTTCATATTAGGCCAGTAGCTTGACAGTGATATGTTGTAATGTGTATGCACTTCTTGGATCTGTCCAACACATACTTGTTGGCAGATGCTTTGAATATTCAAGATGTTGATTGAACTTTATTTTTTGCACACTTTTTCTGAAGTACTACTGAACAGAATGACTGCATATTTGGTCAGCAGCTTTGCAGTGATAAAATTAACGTGTGGGTGTTTTTATACGACCGCAAAAATTGAAAATTTTTTGGTCGTATATTGGTATGACGTTGGCGTCGTCGTCGTCGTCGTCGTCGTCCGAAGACACATTGGTTTTCGCACTCTAACTTTAGTTTAAGTGAATGGATCTCCATGAAATTTTACCATAAGGTTCAATACCACGAAAGGAAGGTGGGGATTGATTTTGGGGGTTATGGTACCAACAGTTAAGGAATTAGGGGCCAAAAAGGGGCCAAAAATAAGCATTTTTGTAACTTCCAGACAATAACTTGTGTGTAAGTATATGGATCTCTCTGACATTGTACCACAAGGTTCCATATCACAAAGGGAAGGCTGTAATTGATTTTGGGGGTAATTGCCTCAAAATTTTAGGAATTAGGGGCCAAAAAAGGGGCAAAAAACAAGCATTTTTCTAGTTTCATGACAATAACTTGTGTGTAAGTGTTTGGATATTTCTGAAATTGTACTACAAGGTTCCATATCACAAAGGGAAAGCTGGAATTGAGTTTGGGGGTAATTGCCCGAAACGTTTAGGAATTGGGGGCCAAAAAGGGGCCAAAAATAAGCATTTTTCTAGTTTCCAGACAATAACTTGTGTTCAAGTGTAGTGATCTCTCTGAAATTGTACTGCAAGGTACCATACCACAAAGGGAAGGCTGGGATTGAGTTTGGGGGTGATGAATCATAAGGGGGTTCAAAAAATTGTGGGGGGGGGGGGGGATTTTTTTTTTTCTTTTTTTTTCTTTTTTTTCTTTTTTTTTTCTTTTAAAATTTTCCATTTTAAGTTGGTTATTTCTGATTAATATTTAAAAGCAAATAATAATGATATGGTAGGAGATACACACCAAACAGGATGTGTAAATTATTATATAATAAGTATTGTGCAATAGCAAGAAATTTTCAATTGCACAGTATTGCACAATTGCAAGAAATCTTCAATTGCACAGTATTGCGCAATAGCAAGAAATCTTCAATTGCACAGTATTGCGCAATAGCAAGAAATATCCAATAGCACAATATTGCGCAATAGCAAGAAATTGTCAATTGTACAGTATTGCACAATAGCAAGAAATATTCAATTGCACAGTATTGTGCAAAAGAAGATACTTCGTATAAATTGCTTATTTCTTGATCAATTTCAATGGGGTTTTTTTCTTGAATTCTTGGGGTTCTTTAATATGCTGAATCTAACCGTGTATTAAGTTTTTGGATTTTGGGCCCCGTTTTTAAATTGGTCCACATTGAGGTCCAAAGGGTCCAAAATTTAACTTTGTTTGATTTCATCAAAAATTGAATTATTGGGGTTCTTTGATATGCCGAATCTAACCGTGTATTTAGATTCTTAATTTTTGGTTCCGTTTTCAAATTGGTCTACATTAAGGTCAAAAGGGTCCAAAATTAAACTTAGTTTGATTTTAACAAAAATTGAATTTTTAGGGTACTTTGATATGCTGAATCTAAACATGTATTTAGATTTTTGATTATGGGCCCAGTTTTCAAGTTGGTCCAAATCGGGGTCCAAAATTAAACTTTGTTTGATTTCAACAAAAATTGAATATATGAGGTTCTTTGATATGCTGAATCTAACCATGTATTTAGATTTTTGATTTTTGGGCCCCGTTATCAACTTTGTCCACATTGAGGTCAAAAGGGTCCAAAATTAAACTTTGTTTGATTTCATCAAAAATTGAATTCTTGGGGTTCTTTGATATGCTGAATCTAACCATGTATTTAGATTTTTTATTTGTGGACCCGCTATCAAATTGGTTCATATTGAGGTCAAAAGGGTCCAAAATTAAACTTTGTTTGATTTCATCAAAAATTGAATTATTGGGGTTCTTTGATATGCCAAATCTAACCGTGTATTTAGATTTTTAATTTTGGGTCCCGTTTTTAAATTGGTCCACATTAAGGTCCAAAGGGTCCAAAATTAAACTTAGTTTGATTTTAACAAAAATTGAATTATTGGGGTTCTTTGATATGCTGAATCTAAACATGTGTTTAGATTTTTGATTATGGGCCCAGTTTTCAAGTTGGTCCAAGTTGGGGTCCAAAATTAAACTTTGTTTGATTTCAACAAAAATTGAATATATGGGGTTCTTTGATATGCTGAATCTAAACATGTATTTAGATTTTAGATTTTTGGCCCAGTTTTCAAGTTGGTCCAAATTGGGGTCCAAAATTAAACTTTGTTTGATTTCAACAAAAATTGAATATATGGGGTTCTTTGATATGCTGAATCTTACCATGTATTTAGATTTTTTATTTGTGGGCCCGCTATCAAATTGGTTCATATTGAGGTCAAACGGGTCCAAAATTAAACTTTGTTTGATTTCATCAAAAATTTAATTATTGGGGTTCTTTGATATGCCAAATCTAACCGTGTATTTAGATTTTTAATTTTGGGTCCCGTTTTTTAAATTGGTCTACATTAAGGTCCAAAGGGTCCAAAATTAAACTTAGTTTGATTTTAACAAAAATTGAATTTTTGGGGTTCTTTGATATGCTGAATCTAAACATGTGTTTAGATTTTTGATTATGGGACCAGTTTTCAAGTTGTTCCAAGTTGGGTCCAAAATTAAACTTTGTTTGATTTCAACAAAAATTGAATATATGGGGTTCTTTGATATGCTGAATCTAAACATGTATTTAGATTTTAGATTTTTGGCCCAGTTTTCAAGTTGGTCCAAATTGGGGTCCAAAATTAAACTTTGTTTGATTTCAACAAAAATTGAATATATGGGGTTCTTTGATATGCTGAATCTTACCATGTATTTAGATTTTTTATTTTGTGGGCCTGCTATCAAATTGGTTCATATTGAGGTCAAACGGGTCCAAAATTAAACTTTGTTTGATTTCATCAAAAATTGAATTATTGGGGTTCTTTGATATGCCAAATCTAACCGTGTTTTTAGATTTTTAATTTTGGGTCCCGTTTTTTAAATTGGTCTACATTAAGGTCCAAAGGGTCCAAAATTAAACTTAGTTTGATTTTAACAAAAATTGAATTCTTGGGGTACTTTGATATGCTGAATCTAAACATGTGTTTAGATTTTTGATTATGGGACCAGTTTTCAAGTTTGTCCAAGTTGGGGTCCAAAATTAAACTTTGTTTGATTTCAACAAAAATTGAATATATGGGGTTCTTTGATATGCTGAATCTTACCATGTATTTTGATTTTGGACATTGGACCATAATAGGTAAATTAAAAAAATTGAAGTTCTTAGACCACATTCTTTCTGTGTCAGAAACCTATGCTGTGTCAAATATTTAATCACAATCCAAATTCAGAGCTGTATCAAGCTTGAATGTTGTGTCCATACTTGCCCCAACTGTTCAGGGTTCGACCTCTGCGGTCGTATCAAGCTGCGCCCAGCGAAGCATTTTATTTAGATCTGTAAGACTCATACATCTTGTTTTCCTATAGTTTGAATTAAAAGTGGGTGTTTTTCTTAGCACGTCAACATGAGTTACAGTTGTTTACATCCTCTTCTTTTGGTATCTGGTTGGTAGTTGTCTCATTGGCAATCATGCTACATATACCTGCGTCTTTTGGTATCTGGTTGGTAGTTGTCTCATTGGCAATCATGCTACATATACCTGTGTCTTTTGGTATCTGGTTGGTAGTTGTCTCATTGGCAATCATGCTACATATACCTGCGTCTTTTGGTATCTGGTTGGTAGTTGTCTCATTGGCAATCATGCTACATATACCTGTGTCTTTTGGTATCTGGTGGATAGTTGTCTCATTGGCAATCATGCTACATATACCTGTGTCTTATGTAATGCACTATAAAAAAACATGAAAATCTCTTCTTTTAAAATAAGAAACTTAATTTTTGTCATGCCTGTTAGTTTCATTTGTGATATAGTGATGCTAATTCCATAGGGGCTTCGGCAAAGACACAAACTTTTGTATAAAGCTTATTATTGTAGAAGGTAGAAGAACTGGATGCTTCATATCTTGTATACACATGCTTTATATTGTGAAGTTTTGGTTTCAGGGTTGTTAATCCTGCATTGGCCTAAGTTCAATTTATGAAGCTTCATATTTAGAAGGTAGAAGAGCTGGATAATTTTTATCTGGTCCACATATACCTTATGGTCTAAGTTCGTTTGTACTAGTACTTGATCTCATTTTCATGGTCCAGGGATATTAAAGTTCTGAGTAGCTCCATTTCTCTTATATTACTACTATAAGCAATAGGTCAACATTATAAATATAAGAACATGTGGTATGATTGCCAATGAGACAACTTTCCACCAGAGATCAAATGACGTAGAAGCTATTTGGTATATAGAATGATTGTAAGTTGTACATAATCATCTGACCTTGATCTCATTTTTATGGATCAGCGATAATGTAAAAGTTCTGTTAACATTATCAAAGTGACACATCTGCCAGTCTAACTTGATTAAACAAAAACCTGTAGCTGTGATTTGGTGGTGTCGTCTGATCCGTACAGTCTGTTCACATCAAAAGTTGACGGCACACCGTAGTTTCAGTTGCACAGTACCAAACATCTGATAAGCCAAGTGATACTACTTAATAGAACTTTTCATATATTTTCACTGGTGTAATAAGGCCAATTTGTTTTACAATCAGTGATGGTGATTGATATCTGCAAATATTGCTTACATTTGAGATGATTAGTTGTGAAAGTCTATTGAAAATCTCTACAGCAACTACTACCAGTATGCCAAAAAAAAAACTGTATGGGAATGATTAATCCATTATTTAACCAAATTAATTTGCAGCTGAACAGATTAATATCTAGTTACAGCACTGGGTCGATACCTCTGCTGGTGGACTATCAGTCCCCGAGGGTATCATCAGCCAAGTAGTCAGTACTTCGGTACTGGCATGATTTATAACAAACCTTTCTAAAATTGTCCGTTAATAAATTTTGAGATTGTTAGAAACTATGGTTCATCAACTCCCTCAGGCAAAGTTGACCTTAGATGGATTTGGCTATTTTTTAGGTCCTTTTTGGTTATATAGCTCTTCAACTGTTTCGGTTCTTATACATCCTTGGCTTTCAGATATTCGGCTTTGAGCGTTCCTGATGAAGGTAAATCCAGAAAAGCGCTTCGGACGCATGAAATTTATAACGTGTTGTTTTCATTTTTGTAGTTCCTTTGACCTTAGTTTGTCAGCTCTACATTGACATTACCGTATTATACACCCGTTTTCTTTACCATATTAGTCCACCTGTTTTACCTGTTGTCAGCCAGGGGCGTAGCTAGGCCAAAATGATGTGTACTCAATGCCAGAGAAGGAATATATACGGCGAGTGGGTAAATGGTGCAAAATCCTGCATTCTCGCGATTTCCTGGGACTTAAAATTACCTCACAGAAATCTTATTTTCATAAGTAACAGGTTAACTATTGAAAATAATTAAATTCGAAAAAATATTAATTAGAGAATAACAAACTTCTAATGTATAGTGGGTTGAGCTTGATTAGATATTATGTACAATTAAAATTTAAGTGCCACCACCATATGTTTCAATCGGCGTTTTGCATTTGCGCCGATCTGCATTTCATTTGCGCCGATTTTTTCTTTCATTTGCGCCGATTTTTTTTTTTCATTTGCGCCGATTTTTTTACAGGTAATTTACAGGTAAATTACTGTACAGGTAAATACAGGTGAATGTTATTTTTCATTTAACATTATAGACCTCTTCCGTTCGCCATTTGGAATTTTGGGTCCTCAATGCTCTTCAACTTTGTACTTGTTTGGCTATATACATATTTTGATCTGAGCGTCACTGATGAGTCTTATGTAGACGAAACGCGCGTCTGGCGTATTAAATTATAAGCCTGGTACCTTTGATAACTATTGTACAAATGTTATGAATTGTCAATCATAACATGTATATAACTGTTGTCCTCTGCTCACCACGGGGAGTTGGAAGTAGGATTTTGAGCAGGATAAGTCGATTTAAAAGCACTATGTTCACATACTTTAAAAAACCTAAGATAAAAGCACTCCGTTTTTACTCTGTTTATACTAAAATGACGAATTAAAAATCTATTTACAACATTAAAATCCATAAAAACGGAATACATTAAAATCATAAATCTGTTCTTGCCGAGTATTTATAGGCAACACATCTAATATATTCCTTTCTTGTGATTTCGTCTCTATATTTTTCGTAATTGTCAATAACGAAGTCCATCTTTTCTTTCTCTGGCTAACGTACAATGTACTGATGCGGGCATTTCTAGAGTTCGCATTTTAACATACGTAACGGCCTGGATTTTCTTAACTTAAACATAAGTGAACAACGTTTATAACCAGATTTTACCAATATACATTCAAGGTATAGTACATGTACAAATATTTACTCACCTGTGTTAAACTGTAAATGCAATTAGTAGCAAATACAAAATCGGCGCAAATGAAAAAATGAAATCGGTGCAAATGAAAGAATGAAAATTTTAAAAATCGGCGCAAATGTCATACGCCCGTTTCAATAGTTACCCAATCAGTCTCACCCACTATACGTTCAAAAATCCAAATTTCTAAGCCAACACCGTGCAACTTAAAGGGTTTTTTTTATTTGTGAAAATGCATAAATAAATATAATCACATTTTTCTATGTTTTATTTTATACGTGAACAAGCAGTCTTTCTTTCGTCTTTGAACCTGAAAATCAAGGACCATTTCCTTTCCTTTCTTTTACTGAAGATGTCCACAACCGTGTCAGTTCAAATTTGTTTTTATGGCCCCGCAACAAAGTTGTCGGGGCCATATAGTTTTACCTTTGTCCGTTATCCGTCATTCCGTCATTCCGTCATTCCGCAACAAACCATAATCGCATTTTGTTTCTAAACGCCTTCAGATATTGGGCTGATTGTTGGTATGTGATTTAACCATGATGAGTTACAGATCAAGTTTAAGTTTCGTTTCGCTCTGCTAATTTTTGCCGAAATTACGGGCTTTTGACTTTGATAAGTTGTTGAAAATCACAGTTATATGGACTTTTTTCTAAATGCCTTCAGATATTGGTATGTAAGTTAACCACGATGTGCTACAGATCGAGTTAAAGTTCGTTCCGCTCAGCTGATTTTTGACGAAATTGCGGGTTTTGGACTATAATAAATTGTTGAAATCACAGTTATACGGACTTTTTTCAATACACCTTCAGATTTTGCGCTGATTCTTGATATGTGAGTCTACCATGATGAGTTACAGATCAAGTTTATGTTTCTTTCCGCTGTGCTGGTTTTCTTGTCGTTTCAACACATCTTGTTCTGCAGTACATCCACTTCCCAGCAAACAATTCAACATTTTAAAAACGTTTTAAAAATGTTTTGTTTTGGTTTCTAGAATGTTTTATTAAAACGTTTTAAAAACCAAAATTTGTAGACTCTTATAAATGTTTCAAAAACATTTTGAAGAAACGTTATTTGGAACATTCAGAAAACGTTGAAATAAGGTTTTATGAAAAACGTTTCTGTCAACCTCCAACAAACATTTTCAACACATTTGTGTAACAATGATGCATTAGTGCGACCACCATTACTTTGGTTTAAAAATATATAATTGATTGTGCAGTGTTTTGTATTTCATCCATTTCTTAATTGGTAATGCACGTGTTTAGTTGAAGAAAAAGCAACATCTTTATAAGCTTGGATGGATGGTTGGTTGTTTAACGACCAGTGGCAAGTCAGATGCATATTCTGGATGAGAACATGATTATTAGAAATTAATACCCTGTCTTGTAATAGAAAAAAGTAAAATCACAAAAATACTGAACTACGAGGAAAATTCAAAAAGGAAAGTCCATAATCAAATGGCAAAATCAAAAGTTCAAACACATCAAATGAATGGATAACAACTGTCATATTCCTGACTTGGTACAGGCATTTTCTTATGTAGAAAATGGTGGACCAACATAGACATAGACCAACATGTTGTGCCAGATTTTTTGGTTCTAGCCCACAAGGCAAGTTTGCAGGAAGACATGTCACATTATTCTGACTACGGGCCAAGAAGTCTTTGCTCTCAACTCATTTTGGGGAGAAGCAACAAATAATAATTTTATTGTCATTGGTTTGACCGGGCCGAAGTTCTAACCCACGACCTCCGCACTTGAGGCGACCACACTCCCCATTACACCAAAGCTCTGAAGGAAGATATTCTTTATAAAAACAACTATGCCAAAGCAAAGCTTGTCAACCTCTAAGTAAACTGTTTAAACTTGGTCCTGTGACCTTGAAAGTCACATCAATAAGGTTCTTCCATTGACAAGGAGATTACATATCTCTAAAACCGAGAATTTGACAAATTACCATAATAACTTCAATCAATGATCTAATTTATAACCAAAGCTTTAATTGTTGCAGAAATTGGAATATAGTTTTATAAACATCTTTAAATACTTTGCAACAAAAAAAAAACAGTATTGACAGGACTAAAATCAGTAGAATCAAGTTCTTTTAAACAGATTTATTTGTTCAGACTCCAATTCTTCTTGCGATATCATCAGTCCTTTTCTTACAGGTTTCTGAAATGATAAAAAGCAATTTGTTAAGAATATCAGTACTCCCAAGTACCCTGTTTAGCATATAACTCTTAACCCCAGTTAGTTGTTGTACTCCCTTTTAATCAAGCTATTTCATTAAATCTATAAAGGGGACATTATGATATTTTTTGCAATCCAAGTAATTATTAAGATAGGCAAAAAACATAAATAATATTTACATGTCAAAAGCAATTGCTACAAATGTAAATCTCAATGTTTTACTTGCAGGTTAAAGACAATAATTCCATCGTCAAGAACATAACAATGTATTATTCTGTTGTCTCTAAATAAATAGAAGTTCTGCATGGTTGGCAAATGTCATATTGCTATAAATGACTCAGAAATTTGTGTATAGATATTCAAATTGCAAAAATAAACTTTTAAATAAATAAAACCTTCCACTTAAATGTATATTAAGATATTCTATTCAATTGAAAAATACCTTATATTTTTGTCCTCATGGCTTGTGTGGGGCCTGTTTTAGGAATTAAGACCTCCTCCATATCGGCAACCTTGGATTTTGGGAACACTCTTGCACAACTTTCTGAAAAAGTATTACAGAGTTAAAAAGATATATTTCATTATTTTTTTAACTTCCTTAAACTTTTATATATATATATAATAACTTTATGTAACTTTGCACTCTGTTTCTATCAAAAATAATAAGTGAGAAACATTATATTCATATTCATCATATGAATTCTTTTTGAGATTAAAGTCAGATAAAAAATCCAATCTATATTAATGGCACTTGCTTTTTAAAGTTCGACATATTTTCTTAATCAACTTACTCATGATTATTCTGCACAAAAGGGTGACCTGTGAATGCCTCTTTTCTCTTTTGCCCCTTCAGACTGTATTTGGCCCATAACTGATTAGTGCCACACCTTTTTCATCATCCTTCCTTACAGTTTGAAGGGCTGTGACCACCCTGTGACACCAAATACTGGACCTACAAAATTACAATTTAGTCCTGTTGTTATTTATTTTTCGTGAAATCAAATATTTGTTTTATAAATAATCGTGTCCATGAACCAATCTTAGCAAAACCTACAAATATTATTGCCTAAAAGATATTTTATTTCTTGTCCGAGTCTTATCGAGTTTCTATAATGATTTTTCATGTATCGCTGTGTATACGTTATATGCAATTGTATATGCATTTGAATGTTTGTCTTCAATTACAGGTTTATTCTGTTAATGCTTTGTTAATGCCAAATTTTTTTTTCATATGTATAGCATGTTTCGCTTATATATATTTACTTTAAATTAATATATATTATCTTTAACTGTTAAAATCTACTTTGACCTTTTCTCGGTAGATTGTTCTGTGGTTACATTATAAACTTTTACACATCTATTTATTTGAAAGGATTTTCCCAACGTAAATGAGCCGTGGTAATCAACACTGGTCGTATATGAATTTCTTTAATTTGATGATATTACACCTGGTGTTTCCGATGTCATATTTCAGGTCAAGTTCGTCAGGTGCCCTTGCGTTATATTTTTATTTACTATAACATTTGATTATAATTACTTTTTAACTGTTATCAATATGTTTCTATCGTGTAACGTATCAAATGCAGTTACATTTTGCGGTATACTGAATTGTTCATGACTGGCAAGTTACAATCAATTTTAGTCAGTGTTAGTCAGACATAAGATATTTTGTAAAATGAGGCCCAGCACTGGCAGCACGGCTATGGGTAGTCCAAACAAAAATGACGTCTTGAAAGGATATTTTTTATTTTTGCTGTTGCTACGAAGTTGGAGGAGGGAGTCCACATTTTGTTTTATCAAATAAGAAAGCCGTACAAAACATCATTATTATTTGACTAAGCTCTGGGTAGTTTAAATGATTAATTATGCTGTCTTCGGAGGCTTAATTTTATTTTACTCGTGTAAAAGTCAGACCAGTAGCCCATGAGGCATGTATGTATGTATGTATGTACTGGTAAATTCCTCCGATATCCGAAGAACCCCTTGAGAGCTGCGAGGGTACAGTGGAATCCATGTACACTCCCTATCGGGATTAATGGAGATGTGTCACTAACGTATTTACAAAGTTCAATATTTACAAGGACAATCCCCACCCCAACACCAGGGAGTGTCAGGACACCGGGCATGGCAAATTGACACGTGATGGCATCATGCAGTGGTGAATGTGAATTTATGCCAGTAGTAGTTAAATCTGTTAATCATGTAAATAGACTCATGCAAATCATACGAATGTCATGGAGAAAATAATGCAGTAATTTGTCTCAATTTCTACAAAATACATCGACTGATTATTGATTTTATACATACCTCTTAGACTAAACGCTATTCTGTAGAACTACTCTTCTAGCATGTCTCGTTGTTTTCCCAATTTAAAAAAGGCGGTGAGAGTATCCGGAAGTTTCGAACAAATTTTATCTAATGAAGAATTTTGCTTTAATACAAATTATTGTCGTAAATAATACAGTTTCTCAATTAAAATGTCTATCTTCGAATATGATAATACTTTAGAAATGCGATAAAGGAAAATATAGAAATAAAATACGAAACTAACTAATAAGTTACAACTGGTTCCCGGTTCTACAGAAAAGAAACCAGTTATTAGACTACAAGAACTTTTTTTTTGACATATCATATCATCATATCGACAGATCGAAGATGACTTTTTGTAAATTGAAAATTGAAAGTAATTATTAAAAACAAAAATATTGCGGTGATATGGGAAACACGATTTATAAAGTTTTTCTATACTTATTAAAAAACATTTTTGAAACATTATTAAAAAACAAAATTAAAAACGTTGTTTTAAAATGTATTATTTATGTTCATCAAAAACATTTTTGAAAAAATGTTTTTTTTACGTTTAAAAAATGTTTGCAGAAACATTTCTACTATAGTTATAGAAAACGTTTCAATTTAACCTTTTAAAAACATTTCTTAAACGTTTTTTCGACACTAACTTATTTGAAACCTTTTAAAAACGTTTCTAAAATGTTCTGTGTTTGGTGGGTTCCTGTTTGCTGATAGTTTGATATTTAACTTCTCATTGATCAAGGAAATGTTTCATCATACTAGTATTGGTCCTGAGAGGTGGATACTATCCATGCATGTTTGTGTCCACATATGTTGTTGAAATTGCAGATTTTTAACTTTTTGAGACGGGGCCATTCGTGTCGTTCCGACACATCTAGTTTACGGTTTATGTTCAATAGACCAAGCCCAGATAAACGATTGGTTTTCATTGTATTTCTCAAGTCTTCTCATGGTATACTGAAAAAGACCGTTCTGTCGTTGCCGTCGAGACCAGCATAAATGCAAATACGTTTAGTATATCAAAATATAATATAATTGAATTGGAAAAACACGTTAAACGAAACACCCGTCTTGCACGGCCGAACGTAAAATAAAAAAGTAAAAACAATTGCACGAAAATGACCCTTAACAATCCCCGTTTAACTTAATTTTGACTGGACTGTTTAAAAAACCTGTTATGAGGACGTATATAAGACTACATACCACCTCACATGAAAATCATAAGAATGGATCGTTGCCCATGGTCTCTTTATAAGTTAACGTCATATTTTATTTCATCAGTTATTTTGAAATCTTCAGAAAAGATGTCAGGGTAAGGAGGCATAGTGGACGTAACACTTGTTTTCTGACACCCCGAATACTCAGCTATTTTAATTGTGTGCATCAGCAACATAATCACGATGCTGGTTCCGTAAAAGATAAAAGTAGACTAGTTTCCGGAACGGAATATAGCTACAAAGTGACTATTAGAATATTGTATAAAACTTTTTAACTTATTTTATTATTTTAGTTTTATTCTTACAAGATTTACCATATTTTTATTTTTGTCAAATTTTAGATGTGTACGCAACTGCGTTTTTGCGTACGGGTTGCTGTGCGCCTGTCAGCTCTACATTGACATTACTACATATTATACACCCGTTCACTGTATTACACACCCGTTCACTGTTTTATACACCCGTTCTCTACATTGACATTACTGTATTATACACCCGTTCTCTACATTGACATTACTGTATTATACACCCGTTCTCTACATCGACATTACTGTATTCTACACCCGTTCTCTACATTGACATTACTGTATTCTACACCCGTTCTCTACATTGACATTACTGTATTCTACACCCGTTCTCTACATTGACATTACTGTATTATACACCCGTTCTCTACATTGACATTACTGTATTCTACACCCGTTCTCTACATTGACATTACTGTATTATACACCCGTTCTCTACATTGACATTACTGTATTATACACCCGTTCTCTACATTGACATTAATGTATTATTCACCCGTTCTCTACATTGACATTACTGAATTAAACACCCATTTTCTTTACCATATTAGTCCATCTGTTTTACCTGTTGTCTGCATGTGACATCTTTTGCTCTTTCTGTAGTATTGGTTATCAACTTGTCTAATGATAATTAACATCAGTGGCGGATCCAGAAATTTTCATAAAAGGGGGGGGGGCATTGACTGCCGAAGAGGGGGCCCGCTCCAGTCATGCTTCAGTGATTCCCTAGATAATCATCAAAATTTTTCCCACAAAAGGGGGGGGGGGCGGGCCAAGGTTATGGTTGTCTTTCTGATATTGTTTTAATCTAACCCCTTTGTTTTATTAACTTTGTATTTACATTGTGTCATAGATCAAATTTATTCGTTCAGTGTATGTTCACTTGTTTTTGTTAATATGTCTTTTGATTGAGTTAAGCCATTTCAATTGATATTTTATAGTGTGTCTTTCTATGTTGTAATGTTACACTATTGTTTCAGGTAGGGTGAAGGTTGGCGCCAATTAAAACGTTTAAACTCGCTGCATTTGTTAGCACCTGTCCTAAGTCAGGACCCTGATGTTCAGTGGTTGTCGTTTGTTGATGTGGTTCATAAGTGTTTCTCGTTTCTCGTTTTTTTTTATATAGATTAGACCGTTGGTTTTCCTGTTTGAATGGTTTTACACTAGTCATTTTTGGGGCCCTTTATAGCTTGCTGTTCGGTGTGAGCCAAGGCTCCGTGTTGAAGGCCGTACTTTGACCTTTAATGGTTTACTTTTACAAATTGTGACTTGGATGGAGAGTTGTCTCATTGGCACTCATACCACATCTTCTTATATCTATATACCAACATCTCATTTTATTCATAATAAATTTTACACGAATTTCCGATATAAACTATAGTATCTCCATACAACTGAGCGAATGACTATGAGTTTTTCCATCCCGATGCTTTTAACAACTACCATACTTGTCAAAAGCATCATGATACTTAACAAAAGTATCATGATACAAGTCTAAAGTATCATGATACTTGCTCAAAGCATCACGATGCAATTCAACTGACATTAGCATCGCGTTGGAAGCCAAAAGCATCACGATGGAAGTTAAAAGCATCATGATGTAAGTCAAAAGCATCATGGTGGAATTCAAAAGTATCGTGATGTAACTCAAAAGTATCGTGATGGAAGTCAAAAGTATCGTGATGGAAGTCAAAAGCATCGGGATGCTTTTGACTTCCATCATTATGCTTTTGACTTCTATCGCGATGCTTTTAACTTCCATCACGATGCTTTTGACTTCGGGTATCGTGATGCTGTTGGCTTCCATCGCGATGCTATTGTCAGTTTAATTGTATCGTGATGTTTTGAGAAAGTATCATGATAGTTTAGACCTGTATCATGATACTTTTTATAAGTATCAAAAGCATCGGGATACTTATTAAAACCATCACGATGGAAAAACTATAATGATGGAAGTATCGTTATTTAGACATGAACGACCACTCATACATGACACTTATTCGATATTTCCATTGCTAAATATCAAGTTCCCCGTAGATTGCATTTTTAAAAGAGACAGAATTAAGAGCAAATCTTTATTTGTGTTTGTGACAAGAAAAGTTGTAAAGTCAGCATACAGTTGGACGGAATATCAACTTATCAACAGCACAGATCATTCAGAATTTTGGTTGGTAAAGATCACAGTTGTACTGATTACATTTCCATGCCATAGCACACTGGATGATGAAAGCTTTACAGCCAGTCACGTGAGAGCAGTAGAACGCGCAGTCAGTCTCGTGAGATACAGCTTTCGTATGGGCGATGTGTTTGACGTACTGCGACAAATCCTGCTGTTTAGGTGGCCAAATTCTTTCAAACAACAGCGTAGGTGGTTCCTCTTTGTTCACAGCTGACTTGTTAAACAGATCACTTTCGATGTAAGCCATTGCTAAAGCTACAAAGGATTCAAAGATATTTTCAACCAATGTAATCATATAGTACATGAACAAATTTAAAACACTAACTATCTGTTTCATTTGTTTTTTTCTTTGTTTTTATTATATCGAATTTTATACAGAAGATATTACAACAGTCTGGGGAAATCAATATGATAACCATGTATTACTTGAAGACATCCCTGTATACCTTATTTACTTCTTTTCATATTAAAGCCGTACAGCTAACCAGAAAGTCGGTATTCGATACTTACAACTCTTACAAATGAACCCCGGAAGCCTTTCCCAGCACTCTTTGAAGACAATAATTCCATCTGCATTCAGAGCTCCACATATATCTTGATTGGATTCTGGTGCATTTCCTGCAATCAAACTGGACATGTTTATATGAGTCTTATATAGCAAAATATTTGTAGTCTAAATGCAGCCAGATACACAGATTCGTAATTCTAGTTTCTAGAAAGATTACAACTTCAATGTACATAAAAATAGCAAAATCTTCTGGTTACAAATTAATGTATGCTTCGTCAATTTACAAAAATATAACAGAGCGAAATTGTCGCCTCCCTGGACATAATTTTATCATGTGGTGAATCTGTCCAAGTCTTTTGTGTATGGTAAGCACCAACACAACCAAATATTAGTTGGTTTGACCTATCCAGACGCATACCGGTATTTCAGACAGTCTAGCTACGGATGGGCTATATATTTGCTATGAACCATTCAGTTAAATAGTAAGTTCTGCGATATACTAGAGTCAAAACATTATATATATATAGTATGTAATATGTATCAGTTAGATAAATTACATGCTTTTAACGATCTTTTCGATTCTGTTCACAGTTTCGAATCTCTATAATACTCTTCCACAAATGTCTATCAAACAGAACTTTTCTCGATTAATCAAATGTCCATTTGAAAAATCGGATCAAAATTTTCCGTTCCTTATTGTTAATGTTAAATGCTTGATTGTCCCTTTGGTATCTTCGGCCTCTTTTTATACTTTTTAGACGGTGATATTTTGTTGGTTTTTTCTTATATATATACGATGTATATTTACCAACTCGTTCGCTATGCCCGTATTTGAGGTGATTTTTAAGATTTTTTGTGTATAACTGATAAATAATTAAGTCAGGGATTTCGTTACAATCAAATAAAACCTGTACAAGATTGGTTTGAAAAATTGGGTTTACCTGCAAAAATCTTATAACAAATGGGATATCACATCCTAATGTTTACGGTGATGTTGTTTATAGAGCTCGTAAACTAAGATACTATCCATGTACATGCATCCTTCCTTTTAATAAACTAATTTTAAATGGGTTTCATTTTTTCATCGTAGTAAGTCTTTGAATATCGTCTTTATCTGTACCTACTATTAATACATAGCTAAAACATGCATTGGTATCCAGATATCACGTATGGACCATCATCCTGTTGATACTTATAGTTTATAGAGTTCCACAAGGTCGTGCTTCTTCTAAGACTGTTTATAACGCCTTTACACCAAATATACTGGAAACATTTAGTGGACAATAATGATATACATGTATTAAGTACTGTCTACATCAATTCACGAATCCTCAGAATTGCATTTGAGCAGAGCAAACATCAATCAAGCGTAACTTGCGTCGATATGAGTATAACGAAATCAGAGATATATATTTTAATTAGATTGAGCAAATACACATCTTCTATGGAATCAAACATAAAAAATATTGTAAACATTCTTCCAATCAAAAAGACTTACCATTTTTGCGTTCGCAGCTGTAAATAAACTTACCATTCTCGTCTATGTCTGACATGGATCCATCTAACCAAATCCATCCTTGGTCCTTGTTTGGTTTTGGTATAAGTCCTATCCATACAAGATTCTTTGTGAAAGGCTGAAATAGTTAACAGACAATATACCGTGAATGGGTTTATTAACTTATCAAAGAGCAGAATAACTACAATTCGATGGAGGGAATACTTTAATACTGTGCATGTTACTTTTATAAATTTTGACTTGGAAGGAGAGTTGTCTCATTGGCACTCATACCACATCTTCTTATATATATGTGTAGCCGAAAGTGGTATACAAATGTGGTCACATTCAGTCGTATGATAGATGGAGCCAGAAGGAATGACATTACTCTTGACTACCACGAAGACCAAGGTCCACCGTGTATATCAAGAAATACCAGTCAAATTATTGTATAATTGAATGTTGGGACTTCTACAGGACAAATCGACAATACAGTAGAGATAGAATATTGGTTGATTTGATCAGCCTTAGCCTACATAGTCTTTTACAACTGGATAGGATTATTGAAATACAAATTTTGTCAATTTATAATAAGTTCTTATTAAGACCAAAATACATATATCTGGTTAATTTCAAGTTTGAGGTCACGAGTTTCATTGTTTTATCTATGCATCATGTTTTTTTTCGTAACCATTTTTCAATGGTTGAAAAACTGATAAGAAAAATAATAGTAACCGGAAGTAATGTGGTCGTTATAAAACTCGTTTCTTCATCATTCCATACACTGGCCAAGACCGAATCCTTGTACGAACTACATATCTCCTTGGCGACAATAGCATCGACTGGATGATCGCTGTATAAATAACACATCTGGTTATAGTACAACCAACCTTCTTCACAACCATCAGGTGTATAGTTTATACCTACAACTAAAATTTTATGATTTTTAATAGTCATCGATTATTAAAAGAAATAAAAAGATTTAGACAGCGAGGTGTGCTTCGTGTTTTGAAATATATCTCGAAATTAACGGTTAGGGTCGGTTGAGAAAATAAGAAAATATAGATAAAAGATTTGATTTAAATCGTGTAGGGAGACTGCTTCGTCCCAGACACAGAGAAGAACCTTTCACGGTAACAAATTTGTGATGGTTATACTGGTGGTCAGTTGCAAGGCAATATCTCTTCACTTATCCAACATGTCTAATTTTTTTCCAGTTGCAGTCCAAGTTCCCACACTTCATTCCGGTTGACTATTAAAAACTTACCTATTCGAGTTATCGTCTTGAATATGCATGAAACACTTGACACTGGACATTAAGCAATCAAACAATAATCAATCGTTTATGTAATAGTTTTTTGACATCATCTTCGTATTTGAAGTTTTTCTTAAACGGGTGTCAGGAATAAAATAATTTCATTTCTTGCAAACACCAATTTCACTGACAACAAAACTTCATGGTATGTTTGTTGTAGAAAAGGGACAACGAAAAGGAAAAACATACGAGAGAAAACTTTGTTTGACAAATATTCATCATAACAAACCGTGAAAAGGGAGAGTGACAGAGGTGTTCAAGCTAAATTTTAACTCTATTTCCCCTTCCTCAAACCACAAATGACCCGCACAGAAAGCATCATCATAGGATAAGTCATGTTTTAAAATGTCATACGTGTACATAAAATACGAAATTACAGTGATATATAATTGAGAACTCAAAAATATTTTTCACCACTATAATCATATATGAATATATAAAGTAGATCTTAAAAGCAAGGGTTTGTATTCGTCTTTTTTCTTTGCTTTTCAAGATATAAACGATCTCAAATCATAAAAAAAAACAGAGACCAAAGTTGTTATTCATTTCTAGTTGAAAAAAGTCTACTTGTAGAAATTAATTAATTAGATCTTACCCAATATGACGGATCTCAATAAAACAACCCATGCGATCAAAGAAAATTCCATAACTAAACGAAATCAATAGTTACAGACATATATGATGTATGCCTTGCCAAAAATCATTTTCATTCATGTGAACATCCATCGATTTCCCACAAGCCTTGTAAGCAGAACCATTAAATTTCAAATATGTCTTGGTGTGCTGGAAATGAGAATATTGGTAAACACATCTCTTCCGCGATCTTACAAAAGCAAATTGAAGATTAAATCAAAATTTGCATTTAGATTTTTTATTTTGGAAAGTGGAGAATTGGATTTTGAAATTGAATTTTCTGCACTTTATTGTTTGTAAGTACGTGTGCATCCTTTTTTTTTTAACATTTGCTATGTATTCAGAAAACAAAATTGATCCCAAAAAAAATAAAGATTTTCCTCTCCATCAAACTATTTAAATATTCACAAAAATTAAAAATATTTCTCAAATAAAACTTATAATTATGGATGAATGAAATAAATAGGTAAATCTTAATGATAAAAAGTAAATGTAAATCTCTCAACCAAACTAAACTCGAGTCATAAACTGTCGGTATGATGACAATTAACATAAAAAAAACGGTCTTAAGGCACTTGGTACGCTTATTTTCTTTAAATAATCTTTGCTGCATTTTTTGTTTAGATATTACGCCAAAATCTACCAAATTTCGACACCTAAGTTTTAGAGCTCATCGCCCTACTCATTGTCACGGAAACTTTCAAAATCAAAACAGTCTCTGTGAATATAGCTCACTGAGGTTCTAATTAAGCGAAAAAGTAAACAACTATAGATCGTCTCGATTATAATACATACATATGTAATAGTTTCTCGACTTTTACGTCTTTATAAATGTTCGAATGATATAAAAATACGGAGACGTGGTATAATAGCCATGGAGACTAACTTTTCATAAAGATCACAGAACAGGTACTTACGGGACAGAATTTTTGTTTTGTCTCCCCTTTTTCCAAAATCCGTAATTTTTTTGTGCTTCTTTTAATTTTAATTATTTTCGTGTTTTTTAAATCTTTTGTTTCCATGGAAGAATTTAGTTCAGATTTAAAATAATTTGTGGAACCAAAACCCCGACTTATCAGTTTATTTATTATTAATTCACAGATTGTTTTCATTGAAATCTAAAACATCACCACAGACACGTGTATAGCGAAAGAATTTTAGAAATATATACACTGTAGGAAGTAGCCAAAAGAACATCACGGTATGAACAAGAGGCTTCAAGGAGGTTAACTGTATCTCTCACCTGGCATTTTTTTGACAAAATTGGAGGTAGGTAGAACTTAAAAAACACAAACTTTATACTAAATACCATAAGGATCATTCACCCCAAGTATTGTTGAAATTGGTTAATTTGTTTAGAGGAGAGCATTTTTGATACGACGGACGAATAAACTAATAGAAAATCTATCGTTTGCGGAGGCTATTACTCCTTAAAGAGCATTGCAATTATTTGGATTGTACTGGTTTTTTTGTAGATGTTGTATTTCTTAATAATTTTGCTGTTTATAGTTTCTACTATCTATTATAGTTTACGATAAAATAGGCAAAATACTAAACTTAATCAAAAATCGTCATGTAAGGGCAATAACTCCTTACTGAGTCATCCAATGGTAGGGTCATTTGCATTTTCGTAGATCTTGTATTGCTGATCAATATTGCCTCAAACAGTTTCTTCCTATCAAATACATTTTTTAAGATAATAGACAAACACATGAAAATTAGCCTAAAATAGTAAATTTTTTTCCTATCGCAATATTATACACAAATTTTACACAAAAAGCCTATAACTGCTGTTACCATTGTTAGCTATTAACTTATATTTAGAGAAAAATATAACAAATAATGTTACTTTATACCAGAACATTTTTTTATAAACTAATACTCAAGAGCTTTCTTGTAAAGCACCTTCCAAGTACTGAAGAGTTCTATGTAAAAGGAGATTGTTGTCATCGGTATTCCCACTGCACATGACATAACTTAAGGCGTCTTGCGGCGTTTTTATTGTAGGGTACAAAGCCACGAGCTGATAGACAGACTGTTGTGTACCTTTTTGAAACCTTTCACCACCCCGGAATTTAGTCGAATTGAACATAAACCATATTCCAATCGATATTGAAGACTCTTCTTGTATTTTCCAGAATACACACTACTGAATGCATTAATTAACTCAGATTCCATACCATTCCCAATTCTGCACTAATGTTGACGTTTTCTGGCCAATTATAGTTAGGGAGGTCGTCTGTCTGCTTCTATCTGTGATTTCGAATATCTGATTAACATTCAACCTTCGTATATACTGGAAAATATGAGGCTAATATAAAACATAAAATGTGAAATCAATTTGACGTTAGTATTAATTTAACAATAAAAGGTCAATATGAAAAGACAATAAAGTAATAAAACCGCACTATGTTAGCAATTTGTTTTGTTTTAAATTTGTAATCCGATATCGATGGTAATATCCCTGTGAATCAATGCAGTACTTGTTCTTACATTGATTGAAACATCTATCTGTTAACATCAACATAACATGACTGATAGATATTTTGTATTTTCCAACACCGTATACTTATTTAGGACTAGATATAGGAATTGTGTGCAAATTGGTGTATTGTTGTTTCCTTCTGACATAGCGTTAACCATAGCTGGAATTCACAATAATAATTGACATTGTAGAATTTTTAAATTTTCGATTTATTAAATAGTGATTTAGGACCCCCATCCCTTTCCCTTTTAGTGCATATTATTAATTTTTCAGAAACCAAATAGAGTGATTCACGATGAGGTCAGCTTTCCCTTAGGGACTTTCAACCTTAGTTTCTTAAAAAAAATATTTGGGAATTTATCAAAATGTTCCAACTAAATTATGACTAGTATCGCTGGATTTCTGCCAGTGTCAACAACGACGAATCTTCAACCCTTTTAAATCTATATTTCATCTCAGTTGGTTCGGAAGTAAATTATAGCCTGCCTATACTGCCTTTATTAATTTCATCACATATTATGCACAATATCCGGCACAAATGTCCACTTAAAACCTTTGAATAATAAAAATGCCGAAGTTACATCTTTTTGTCAACTGAAAATTTCCGAAGAATCAAATTGGTTTTGGGTACACGAATACATAAAAATCCTCGAAATAATCAAATCCAAACGGGCCATCCCACAAAAAGAACCCTCCTAACAGCCAAAAAAACGTCTTCTGTCACTTTTGCCCTTGAGAAATGCATTCGTATAGAATGATCACAATGCAATTTAAAATCAAAAACTGAAAATTTGTCAAAATGTGTCATTTAAATGATCCAATCATTATATCGAAGTACGGTCGGGTGCTGGGCAGATGGTACCTGAGATGACTATACCCAGTGGTTAGGTTTGGTATCCCATATAGGTACTGATTCCACTCCACACATCGCGCTGGGCAGATGGTACCTGAGATGATTATACCCAGTGGTTAGGTTTGGTATCCCATATAGGTACTGATTCCACTCCCCACATCGTGCTGGACAGATGGTACCTGAGATGACTATACCCAGTGGTAAGGTTTGGTATCCCATATAGGTACTGATTCCACTCTACACATCGTGCTGGACAGATGGTACCTGAGATGACTATACCCAGTGGTAAGGTTTGGTATCCCATATAGGTACTGATTCCACTCCACACATCGTGCTAGACAGATGGTACCTGAGATGACTATACCCAGTGGTAAGGTTTGGTATCCCATATAGGTACTGATTCCACTCCACACATCGCATGCGTCTGAATTAAACTTCGTCAAATATTTGTATTCTGTGTCTAAATGGGGTGCCAAATACATGAACATTTTGTTAACATCAATTAAGAAAAGAGGTCTCAACAGAACGGAAATTACCATCAAATGTCAGCGTCTTAATTTGTGACAGTCCCAGTTTTGGCGCACTTTCATAATTTAAATCTAAATAAAAAATGTACGGCCAGAATGTACGGTCAAAATGTACGGTCAGAATGTACGGTCAGAATGTACGGTCAGAATGTACGATCAGCATGTACGGTCAAAATGTACGGTCAGAATGTACGGTCAGAATGTACGGTCAGAATGTACGGTCAAACTGTACGGTCAAAATGTACCGTCAGTATGTACGGTCAAAATGTACGGTCAGAATGTACGGTCAGAATGTACGGTCAGAACGTACGGTCAGAATGTACGGTCAGAATGTACGGTCAGAACGTACTAACATTTATAGTTGTTAATATTTTCACCATTCACAAATTTGTTGAAAAAAGGAATCATGATTTAAACAATCAGAGTCAAATCAATCAAAACCAATATAAAAGTTCTAAATGGAAGAACAAATTTGAGCTTTGACTACGAGAACAATCAAATAAAAATAAAATTATGATCAAAAGATGTGTTTAAATCCACAAAGTTTCATCTCGTGGAAATTTCAAAAGCCATATCTTTTTTAGAGCTATTTTCCTAATGCTTGCAGTTAAAAGGTTTGGTTGGCTTGCTTGCTTTGCCGTTTGTATAAATGTTTGCTCCAGCATTGTAGTTAAGATTGACACCTGCAATCGATAGATGGCGGGTTTCAGCTTGTATATAGATAATACTTAAATGTTATGGGATGTTAAGTATAATGTAGAGTATAATGTAAACAAGCTGAAGCCCCGCCTATCTATTGATTGCAGTTGTCAATCTTAATTACAATACATGAGCAAGCATTTATACAAACAAAGCAAGCAAGCCAACCAAACCTTTAAACTACAAGCATAAGAAAACAGCTCTAAAGAAAGAGCAAATTTGTATAAAAGCATTAAGTAATTACAAATAGTACAAATCAATTAAATCTACAGAATGTAAACTGTAATGCATTTCATGCGACAAACTGAATCTGTCTTGCAATGTTGACCACTAAGGAAACAAATAAGAATTCAAACAGATTTGTTAATGGCATATTTATCAATAATCTAACATTATCTCATACAGATATATCGATATGCGGTTGGACGAGGATACAATTGATGAATCAATCGTAACTTTCTTACAAACTGCTGTATTA